AGAGCAAAGTGTAGAGAAACATCCCCCTCTATTGGACAATGTGATATCACAGGGCAGAGGGAGCGTGAGAAGGAGAGGACACAAGTGGAAGGAAAGGACGGGAAATGAGAAGGAAGGGATGGAGGAAGAGACGATGGGCCCGTAGAGCAGAGAGATAGCCGATTCATAAACATCACAATGATGTCCAATTGCAGCCGTGTGATGCAATCGCGCTGTATCTGATTGTCACAAATACACAAACCCACCCACACACACTCATACACAAAATAGCCTCAGGTGTGACCTGTGCAATACCCCACTCCAGCAGATAGACATCTCTGGTCTGCTCCTATCAAGTCTTAGCACCTAGATATCTCTTTTTTCCCATTTCTGGCTTCTGTATAGGGAATTACAGACAGACAGACAGGGCGGCAGAGAGAGGCATTACAAAGAATGTAATGTGGTTATAGAGTATTCATGTATTTTGGGCTAAACCAAAATAAGACAACATGATTTTTCCATCTGGAATCGGTCTTTTCTCAAGTGGTACAACTCAGTGCGGCTAACAATTTGTCCTAATGTTTTCCTGTTATTTTATTTTTATTTTTATTGTTCTCTAAAATCTCATTTTAGAACAAAAGTGCCCATATAAATTATATTATGTGAGTGGTGTATAAATGATTCTCTGCGACATTATGAAATGCTGTGTAAATCGTGTTTTCACAAGCAAACCCTTGTAGTCTGGTCCAGTTTGGTGCCAGAGAACACTCTGATTCTTAAAACTCAGGGTGACCCACAGCACCCACTGTCATGAGGACATGGCAAGCACCCAAACCACAACACAGCACCCCGAGGCGTAGGCCTGACCACGAACTTGGGAAAGTTTTCATTATCTGGGTTGCACTCATTTTCCAAAGGGTCCTGTGGTCCATTTTTATTCCAGCCAGGACAAGTGACACCCAAGGAAAACACAGAATTCCCATCAATAAACGCTCAACTTAAATGTTTATTGTAAGCGCAAATAATTACACCATATCTGCAGCAAACTTTGCACAACTCTGTACAAAAAACTGTGAGTTTTGCTCTCATCAAACTTGCCATCTGTGTCGTGCCAATAGAGATTACCGAGATGCAGGAAGTTTGCTTTGTGTCCGTTTGATTTCTATTCCGGTGACACTCTGGTGAGAGGGGTAATATAGCAGACAGCTAGACAGACAGCTAGATAGATGGAAGGCCAGACTGCTCCCCTTGTATGAAGGATTATCCCCTATCCTCTGTTTGTGACAAGAGCTGATAAGGGCCTGAGAGGAGAGGCAGCAAGAGGCTGAGAGGGCTAGTGACACACACACACACACACACACACACACACACACACACATACGCATATAATCCACAGCGAGAGAGATATCAATCCATCATTTAGAGCCGGGGATTCGGCAAGAGGAAATAGGTTCTTCTCAATCGCTGACAACCTAACACACACTCGCGCAAGCACACACACGCCTGCAATAGCATCTGCTGTACAAAGGGCTCACAAGGTTTCAGCGCTGAATGGGGATGTTTGAATGACTGTTCAATTTCATCTATTTATCTGATTTACATTTGGCTATTGTTGTCACCATGGCTGTATATCTATGTGTGTTTAGAGCTGTTATTGTGTCTGAATGACACCAGTGTCACTATTAGAAACCATAAATCTAAATGTTCTAATGTTAGCAGTTGCAATATGCATACCAAAAAAATATGGATCTATGCAACACAATCTGTTTTAAATTCTTCAATTTAGTTGTTGAGCAATTTTGTTAAAATTATTACTTTTCCTAAGAATGTGGGTGTCATTTATTTGAAAAAGTAAAATAATCTATCTAAAGTTCCACTTCATTTTTAGGGTGAAATATAACGTGTCCAATATCATTCTGTCGAAGTGAGAGAAAAATAACATTTGAGAAAGGTGGGAGAACTGCAGAAGGCTGCAAAGTAAAGAAAAAAGGTGGTCTAAGTACTGCAAAGGTTCTGCCTCTCAGTGTGTGCATGAGTGTGTGTGTGTGTGCCGCTGTTTGACAGGAACATGAAAATCCCCGCTTCTCTCCTCAACATGACCACATCTCTTGAGGGATATGTGAGTGTGCGTATGTAAGCGTGTTAACATAGATCTGATGCTTGTGTGTTTTCCTCATGAGGGACCCTTGGCACTGATAGGAAAGCTCAGAGCATGTGACAGGCAGAGAAAAAGACAGTAAAATGAATGCTTCCATTCATTTATTCCATCTTTTCTCCTCTTTGTCCCTCATTTGGTCCTTCGATCTCACTGTAACCTTGAACCTAGAGCATATGCACTGATATCTGAGTGTGTAGAAGCAGAGGGAGTTGCGCTATTGATTACAGTTTGCAACAACAGGTCAAAGGGTTAACATGTGTAAGAGGAACCTTATTGCAAGGTGTGGGGGTTCTGCAGTGGGAAAGTGGTTACAGTGGTCTACAGGGGGCTTTAAGACAATATAATACTCTCACAATCTCACAATGCCTGTTAAGAGCTCAGCTTGAGTCATTGAGATATTGAGCCCAATGTCTTCCAATGAAAATGTGTGATTCATAAAGGTGGTTTGACTGGTATGACTACAAGTTAGGAAAGAGTGCTCTGGTATTACGTGATGAAGCATTAATGATACCCCTGTCTCCAGTGTGTCTCTGTAAAGAGATTTTCCAGGATATTATCAAAGGTAAACTTTGCAGATTTAAAGTGGGGAAATATCCTCTCTTTGTCTCCACTTGTTTAACTGCTTAGAAAGAAAAAGACTGCAAGAGAACAACTGATGAAACATAGAAGGCGTTGCAGAGAAGGTGAACGAGATACAAAGAGTAAGGAGTGGGACAAAGACAAAATGTGTAAGAGAGACAGGGAGGGAGGGTGTGTTTGGCACTGCATTGCTGAGCGCCAGGTTAGGTGGCAGGGCCATTTGGCCAAGGCGCCGGTGCTAGACTTGATGGATGAGACAAACTGCAGGCTCTTTTCTCTTGTAACTTTAAAATCATTAAGCCTTTTACACGGCCATGCAGATTTTTATGGCCACCTCAGACAATCTGCCGCTTGTTCATGTCTTTAGATCGGCTGGATGGGAGAAGACACACAGAGGGAGGACATGGATAATGTCATAACTTTATCTAAAGCGGTCCATATCTTCTAATAGTGACGTTGTTGATTTACAGTCGTGTACTATGACTATTAAATTGGTATGATATAATGAAATGTTGTATTAAAATCTTAAGATTAAGAAAAATAAGAAAATGTACTTTATTTTGAAGATTTTAAGTTCATAGCTTATGTATTGTATCTATTAATCTACTATTAATATTCATACTTTATATTTTCGTACATTTAAATAAGTGATCTTAAGTTATCCACAGCTGCTGCATTCTACTACTCCCTTCCAATCAACTTCATTTATATAGCACGATTTTAACAAACACAAGTTACCTTCTACCAGTCTTTTTTCTCTATAATGACTGCATTTAGCTATACTGCTTCTAATAGATAACTAATTACCAAAAGGTTGGTTCATAAAAATGTTTCATTATCACTTTCCAAAAAACCAGTGAAGAAGTTGAGAAGAGAAATATATCTTTAGCTGATATCTGTAGTTTTGACTTGACTTGGCTCCCTCACTTTAGCTGTCTGATTGTTTCTCTGTGACAGTACAAACCAAATTAGAATACAGTAACTACACACAGTTATGTAAGTTTAAAAAAAATGAAATATGGTTAAACAGATTCTGCCTTTAACTCAATTTTGACCAAATGACTGTTTTGTAGGGCAGTATGGAACTTGTGGTTTTCTTAGTTTTCTTAAAGTATGTAATGGTTTTTGTTCCCTTTGAAGCTGTTCCATTTTTTAAAATTATCCAAAAGGATTTGGTGTGGTTTAGGGTCTGGAAAAAAAAAAAATATTTAAAGGACAATATAAAATATTCATTTCACCAAAATCTGAGGTACAGCTGGCAGAACACACGGTGCTGGATAAAAAGATTCACACTTTCTAAATGACATAATGTGGAATTTAGGTTTATGCACAGGACCTTTCAGATATGCATACATTTCACATCTCATCTCTGATGATCCTGCTATTACGAGGCAGGTGAAAATGAAGTTTGGGTACGCAGCAGGTAATCCGGCACTGAGAGGACATCATGACATTGATCTAAGATTTTAATCTGCTGCTCCTCTTTGCCGGGCACGTTTTGCAATAACAAATACAGCTAGCTATAACCAGGAGATACATGAGTTCTATTTAGAAAACCCAGTTAGCTAAGACAAACTTTTACCCAGCAAATAACAGTGACGTAACATAATCATATCACTTTTTATAGTATCCTATTTCTTTTTCTTTTTCTTTTTTCATTTTCCTATGAGTGTATGTGTGTTCAATGCATGAGGTGTCTTGTTCGACAGGCGAATAATGTTAATGATAAACCAGCTGCAACAACAGCGTGGGTGTTCCTGCGATGCGCTCTAAATATTATCAATAACAGCTTATGTGTGTATGTAAGTGCGCACATGCCTCCATCAATCCATCCGTCTCTCCATCCATCCCTCTCATTTCACCTCCACAGGCTGCCTCCTCCGCTGTTAGGATTCAATTAACACAGTGCAGGCAGCCATGGCACCCTCATTAAAGCTAATTAGTTAAAACATCAGCCAATCTAGCGTTAATTGGCTTTGGTAATTAATTCAGCTGCTAGACCATATGAAAGCAGCAGGGAGAGAGATAATGAGAGCGAGAGAGAGGTAGAGAGAGGGCTGAAAAGAGTGGAATCAGCGGAGAGGGAGTGAGGGAAAGGAAAGATAAAAGAATGAACGAAAAAATGAGATTAAATGAGGGAGATGAAGAGAGATAACTAATAGAGAAGTGATGTATAGGGCAGCCTTTTTTTCTGTAGGTGTTTGTCTCTGAATACCAGTCAACTCATGTGTGTGTGTGTGTGTGTGTGTGTGTGTGTGTGTGTGTGTGCGCGTGCGGTGTTTAGGGCTGAGTCAGGGCATCTATTTCAAACTTGCTGATGTCCCTCTTTGCCCACTGACACGGCATGTTCCTGTCGTGATGAGGCCCTTTGGAATGGAAATGAGTGCCGACAGGCCTCACGCCCACACCTCTCTGTCAGGTATCCTTCCTCCTTCTCCTCTTCCTCCTCTGCAGCTGAGGAAGGAGAAATGGAACAGAGAAAGTCAGCAGAGAGACGAGAGGAGGGAGGGCATAGGTCAGTGAAAGCTAAAACTTTTTCTTTCTTTCTGTCAGTGTCTCTTTTTTAATAGCAATAATTGTACGCCAACAAAACAAACAAGCTAGAGAAGGGAGTTAACAGTGCAGTAACATCAATAAATAAATAACAACAATCAACGCAAAAAAGAGAAAAGAATGCAAGCAAAGTCTTTTCCATGTTCAAAAATCATACTGAACAAGTATAATAATAGAAGGAATGAGTCTGCTTTTAATGTTAAACATGTACAGGTTTCCAAAATCGTTAAATATTAATGATTAATAATGAGGATACATTATTAATTATGATATATTTTAAAGTGTGGATTATTAAGATATTCATGTTTTTTTGATTGCACATGAAAGAATTGAGAAATCCTCATAATTTAGATTTTTAGATTTAGGTGACAGACGCACAGTGTTGAGTTATCCACCTTTATCACTGGGTACAATGGCTACAATAAAAAGGCAGCTTTCAGAAACTTACACTTGCTTTTGTGTATATTGCATTATTGTGGTATTTCTCCTGCAGAACTCTGGCAGGGAACTGTGGCTTCAAGTGTGTGTGTGTGTGTGTGCATGATAGGGGTCTTGAATTGAGATTTAGCCTATTGCGGCTAGTTGTGCCTCTGCTCTGTGGGTCAGTGCTTGGTTAATGCTCCATTAATTTACTTCTTTCTCCCTCGCCACTGTCTCTCTCTCTCACACAAACACATCCCCCCACGCACACACACACACACACACACTCTGACAAGGTGATTGATTGAATAAACAGCTGTCAGTAGTTGGAGATAACCTCACTAGCATCACACCGCTGTCTTTCAGACAGACACGCACGAGCGCAGCAGGGTCCCAGGAGTAAAACCCACATTACACATGCTGACACACACTTGTAAACTGACGCGCGCACACACTCAGGGATCATCAGATCATCATTTATCAGCGTATGTTCAAAACCAGAGAGCTGATGATTCATGGTGGGTTAATATATTTCACTTTTGGTTTCCAAAATCCTCCGAATTACATAAGGATTTTTACTTTCTATTCAAGAGCAAAGTGGCCTTGAAAATGCTCTCCACAGGCCCCAAACCTTTTCTCCCTGTGACAGAACAGTCACTGTGTTCCCATGTTGCCAAAATGTCCTGTCCATGTAAAATAAATGCATACTCCAGTTTTACATTTCACTCTCTCTCACAGTGCAACATGCACACGTTTACACATAGAAATGGTCCCCTGACTTAAACAGACAACAAACCCATTCACACTGCCACTACACACACACACACACACACACACACACACACACACACACACACACACACACACACACACACACACCTTTCCCCTCTATATCCCTCTAACCGGCCATCTCTTCATCCCTCCTCTCCACCGTGCCGACATTTCATTTGCTTTTCTAAAAGTGACAACCCCAGGGAGCGAGGGGAGGGATGGAGGGAGGGAGGGGAGGGATAGTGAAAGAGCCTGGTGATGAGTTTTGAGCAGGGCGTGGAGGAGTGCTATTTAAAAGCGCCATGCATCATTGTCAGGGAGTGAGAATGCGCAAAACACACACACACACACACACACGCACACGTTCAGACAGACATAGGAAACACACACATGCACGGAGTAGCGCAACGCAGCACGGGTGGCAAACTGAAGTTGACCCCCGTTCCATTTCATCAAATGTCCTCTGAATGAGCTGCACATCCCCATCTATTTTACACACACACACACACACACACACACACACACACACACACACACACACACAGAGAGAGAGACACAGAGCTAGTGATCAGCCTAGTGTCTAGCCTGCTTAAATCACAGCTCACTTAAGAGAAATACCATATCACCTCACTGGGAGACACACATACACACACCTCTGCTGGTCCCATTTGTGTTAATGCGGCCCCTGGTTTTGGGCTTTAGGGCTCATATTTGCCATTATGGAGATGATGGCTTTACGGGGGCCTCTCACCTCACCTCACGTTGGTCGGGGAGAAGAGAGGGGAGAGTCGAAATGAAGGCTGACACCTCTGTGGGATTTATTTGATTGTGGATGCGAGGCGGTGTCATTCTGGGGAAGGGGAGAATGGGGGGGGGGGGATGAGACAGAAGGAGGAGGAGGAGGCCCGGACCCTCGGGCTAAGTGAAAAGAAGGAGAGGAGACGACAGGGGGGTGAAGGGAGAGAGGAGAGGGGAAGGAAAGAGAAAGAAAGAAATAAAGGAAAAGAAAAAGGAAGAGATTGAAGGGGAGCAGAAGTGGCCCTCTTTCCCTTTCCGTGAATCAAATCAAATTCCCCTTATCGCACATTATTTGAAGAGGTTATCGGGCGCAGTAATGCGGTTACACGCCGGGCCGCGGCTGAGAGATTTCCTTGTTTACCGATGTTGGCGGGTGTTATAGCTAACCGGCCGGGTGGGCGGCAAGGGGAGGGGAGAAAAGGAAGAGGTTGGGGAGGAGGAGGGGAAGACGAGAAAAGAGGGGTAGCGGGCATAAACACTTGATGCATGTCAGAAAACTCATTTAGGGGAACAACAAGGAGGGGGAATGGAAGTGTGTGTGTGTGTGTGTGTGTGTGTGTGTGTGTGTATATATATGCACACACAAGGAGAAGACAGTTGTTCAAGGACAGAAAAACAGCCTCTACATGTAGACACTTTGTAATTCCATTTGGGGAATGTGCTTGTGTGTTTTGCCAGTGTGCATGTTGCAGCGTGTGTGTCGCCCATCAACCTACTGTATGTGTGCCAACTCATAAATCCGGCCCTCTTCTTATCTGACTCTTATTGTTGTGCTTAAATCCAGTTTACATGCGCACTGCTCATTAGCTGATTGTGTGTATAATTTACAAGTGAGTTCAGTCCCTTGCAAAAGATATAAAAGATAGAAAATGGTCAAGTTCATGGCGAGTCAAAGGTTTTTTTTGTGTTTGTTTGTAAATGTTCAATCCAACTCTTTGCGTCTTTTAAAAGAGGACGAATTTAAAGCAAAACATTCATCAAATTGCCGATTGCTTCAGCACATATTCATCTACATTAAACTGAGTTTTTTTCAGTTTTTGGTATCAGGGACAGTCCTACGTACAATCTCCTGTTTCCTGAGAGGCAGGAATGATGGGTGAGATAAAAGCGAAGAGACGACACGCAATACAGGTCATTAAATGGGATTTGGACCCTCACTGTTGTGAGTACATGGTTCGCCTCTTAGCCCAGTGAGCCATGAGGACACCCCAAATGGTTTTTTATCTCTGGCCCCATTGAGAGCGAGTATTGAGCTGACAATCCCCGTCCTCTCTGGAGGTGGCCTTTTACCTCAGCTCATTGTAGTCTGTGACTGCAGGAGCCTGCGCTATCTAGCATCTATTGATTCCCACTTCATCTGGACCAAAGCAACACTGGAGAGGGGAGAGAGACACTGAACGACAGCGAGAGAGAGAGAGAGAGAGAGAGAGAGAGGTGTGTGTGTGTGTGTGTGTGTGTGTGTGTGTGTGTGCAGCAGAGGAGAAAAAGTTTTTAAAAAACAAAGGAAGGAAGATAAAGAATGCTGCTTCAAGAGTTAAAAGGGATTAAACTTGCTTCATGATGACTGACATTTGATACATTTTCATCAGCTATTGGCTGAAGAACTACGGACACTAGAATTGTTTAGAGGTCCAGTGTGTAATATTTAGGAGGCTCTATTGGCAGAAATAAAAGATATTCTGCATAACTGTGGTTTCATTACTATATAATCACCTGAAAATAAGAATCGGAGAGGTTCACCTTCATGGAGTCCACCATGTTAAACCACACAAGGACAGAAAAACAGAAAAACATGTATGAGAAGAAAAGAGGACCAAAAATAGGAGACGAATAAAACAGGGATGGGAGAAAGGAAAGAAGAAAAAAAGGAGCACACGGACGGAAAGATGGAGAAAGTCAGGATGTAAAGGAAGGAGAGGAAGAATATTAAAGCAAGGGCAAAAGTGAAACAATACGATTGCAAAGAAAGAAGGGATGGAAAAAAGAAGGGAGATTTCTCCTCTTTGCTCTCCACTCTTCCGTATGATCTAACGCTCTCCGCCTCGCCATCTGGTGTCTATAATTACCTGTCTCATTGTGTGTGTGTGTGTGTGTGTGTGTGTGTGTGTGTGTGTGTGTGTGTATGTGTGTGTGACTCATTATTTAAAACATATAGGGACATAAAAGTCCAATCAAGAACATATTTTGTGTGAAGTATGGGTTATATAAGGGTTGTAATGTTTGAGTAAAGTGTGAGTAATTATTCAAACATACTCACATTTAGTTGTATCAGCTTAATACTTGATCTTGAACTGATATGTTTCAAACACAAATACTTGAAAACAGCATGTTAATTAAAGTTCTTGACAGAGAAATTAAATATACAACTAGATAGTTACAATGAAAATGAAAGTGTGACACACAAAATACAAATAAATGAGTCATGATTATAATAATGAACACTCGTAAGCAGTACAAATATATAACAAAAGGTATGGCCTCATAGCACTTCATATTTACTGGCTCCTTAGTGGCTTACACTTGGTATAAAAATGCCTGCCAGTTGTTTAGACAGAATCACAACACAGAAGGACACGTCATATAGATTTGATTTGCCACTGTGTAATTTCTTACGTTTTATTGGATGTTTTCAGCATTCTCACAAAGTCACACAGCTTAAACAGGGATTAGGGAGTCTCTGGGTTGAGTTGGACCAGCCAAAGTGTTTACGTCAGTACTGTAGCTGCTAGTAAATAAATCAGACTGAAGATACAAAAAGTCAGTGGATATGCTTCCTGCCAGTTGGGTGACATACTGTTTTGTGACGTGAACAAATACCAGAGAGAGCCATTAAGTGGATCAAGTGTCAGAGATGAAAAGGGCGGACGATAGAGAAAGAGGAGAGAGTGATAGAGAGGTGGTCGGGTTGAAAAAAGAGAGAAAAAGGGAGATACCCGGAAAGAGGAACAAAAGGGTGAAATCAGGAAAATGGGAGACAGAGGGGGTGAGGTAGAAAGACAGATGAAGGGATTGAGAGAGAAGGGGAAGAAAGTCGGAGAGAAAGAGAGATGAGACGATCCATCTTGGCACATTAGGGAGGGATCAAGCCCACACTCCATCATGGCTGTCAGAGAGATGCGCACCTCCTCTCTCCTCTCCTCCATCCGTGCACCCATCCATCCATCCATCCCTCGTTCGCTCCGCCAGCCGGCATTTCACTGAAGAATCTCAGCACTAAAAAGTCCTGTCAGGCCTATTTCCTTGTTATTGTCCAGCCCTCTCCTTTCCTTCGTCCTCCTCTCCCCTCCTCTCCCTCCTCTGGGTCCCTCCGCTCCCCAAGATTAAACGCACCCTTGTTGTGCCGCAGGGTGTGTGTGTGTGTGTGTGTGTGTGTGTGTGTGTGTGTGTGTGTGTGTGTGTCTCTCTGTGTTTGAGCTGTGAGGTCCAAAGCAGGACATGTGGAAAGCGTGAAGGTGTGTGTGTGTGTGTGTGTGTGTGTGTGTGTGTGTGTGTGTGTGTGTGTGTGTGTGTGTGTGTGTGTGTTGCCCCGACATTAATCATCTTTAAGGCACTGACAAGCCTGGTGTGCGACATCACATCACATTGACACCCCCCACCCCCCCTTCTCCCCCTTTCTCCTCTGCTCCTCTTCTTCTTCTCCTCCCCTGGATTTATCTGTCCGGCCGCCTCTCCCCATCACTCACTTCCCTCAGGGAGCGTTTGACGGAGAGTGGGAAATATAGAGGGAGAAAAGGAAAGAAACATGAGGGCTGAGAATGACAAAAAAAAGGGTGAGAGACGGTGACAGCAAACAAGTTGGAAAAACCTGTGAAGAAGAAAAGAGAGAACAGGAAAGAAAGAGAAAAGTCTTTTGATTTAGTGCCATTTTTAATTCAGAAACATGTCAAAATACAGCATTTCGATCACTTTATTGATTGACATGTTAATGGTTTTCACATAACTGACATTTAGGTTGTATATAAGTAACAAACAAAGTCCACATTTTATTTGATGTTTTATGTAATTTATTGTTTTACTAATTCACTGTGTTCCATATTTTTTGGGGTTTTGTTACCATATTTTGGTCTGTATTTTACATGTTTTTGATGAGTTTCCCGGACAGTTGACAATAATATTTTATTCTGTTCTATTCTTTTCCATCACATGCCTGGCTGTTGAATTTCCACCTGTTTGGTCACATCAGGGCAAGTCAAATTTGAGTGTGTGTAGTAGCCTGCGTGTTTGCGGTTAACAGCTTGGTTTTGACCCTTATTGTGAGACAGCTGAATTCAAATCGATTCAAATCAATTCACACGACACAAAACTCCTCCACTTCAGACTTTCCTTTTGTTGATTGTTGCCACTCTGTTGTCAGACTCGTGCATTTACATTTCCTTTTCATCACTTTCTTTTTTTAAATAATGCAAATAAAAGCTACAAATAAAAGAAAATCCCACAATTCAAAAGAAAATCACTGCACATTGAAATGCTAAAAAGTAAACTCACACTGTGCAAAATAAGCATTTACTTAACAAAAAGTAAATGTTTTGACATTCCAAAAGCCTAGAAATAATCAAGCGGAGGCATAGGTTTGTATGCGTATCTGTGTGTGTGTGTGTGTGTGTGTGTGTGTGTGCGTCCATGTCCTCCAGGTGTGTGTTTGTCTGCGGAATAGAAAGAGCCCCATCAGCTGCAGACAGGGATTGGATCTTTCTTTGTTTGCTGTGGCGGATGGCGACGGCTTCAGCATGACTCAAATTATCTTGTCAAAGCAATAAAGGGGAGGGAGCGGGGGGGGGGGTTGTAGAGAAAGAGAGATGGAGAAACAAGGAGAGAAAGGGAAATATACTGAAGGTAGACAATAAGGCAGAGAACAAGAGAAGGAAAGAAAGTGATGGGGAAACAGAAAAGAGGGGAAGAGGAACGGGAGAGAGAGAAGAAAAAAGGAGGCAAACAATGAAATAATCAAATAGGAGATGAGAGATAGAAGAGAGGAGGAGAGAGAAATGAAACAAATAAATGGGTGGTAGGGAGCAGAAAATTAGAAATGGATGAGGCTGAAGAGAAAGCGCGTGAGAGGGATAGGTGTGGACAAAAAAAAAAAAGAGGTAGAGAAAGAGAGGCAGGGAGCGAGACAGAGAGTAATCGATTACCTATTTTTCAAAGTCACTTAACGTATCCAGTACTGTGGCTCTGTTAAGTAGCGGTTGAGGAGAATGGGAGCCCGGTATGCACACACACGCTCTGCAAGAGGAAGGGGTTGGGGGGGTGGGGGGTGTGTGTGTGTATGTGGGTGTATGTGGGTGTGTGTGTTCCCCACTAGTTGTCTCTTGATGAGTTCTCTTGCAGGAAACTGTTCTGACAGACCAATATGTGAGCAAGGATTCGTGTCCCCAGAGGGCCGCGTGTGCATGTGTATGTGTGTGTGTGTGTGTGTGTGTGTGTGTGTGGAGAGAGAGAGAGAGAGAGAGAGAGAGAGAGAGAGAGAGAGAGAGAGAGAAACACCAAAGACAAGACAGATTGGGAGTCCCCCTACCTGTTCCTCTTGTTACCGTGGTGACAAGCAGTCTAAACGGGATATCCTGGCTAAGGCGGGGCCTATTGTTCCCGGACTAAAAAAAGCCCATTTGATTGGCTAAATACAGGAAATCAGGAAGTGTCCTCCAACATTAAGCACTGAGACACTTTCAATAGAAAGTTATTTTTAGCCAACTCAGACAGACTCAAAGGTAAACTTGAAAAAGTAGGATGTATACTATTATACTTACACACACGTAAACACAGGAGTGCAATATGCAGAAAATACACACGCGGTCCACACATACCCCCAGAAACACAATGAGACACACACTAACGCAGACACACAAACAGGTGGGCCCCACCCTGTGCCCTGCTGATCAAGGACAATGAAGTGAGGTAGTGTTGGCAGACTCTATACAGCATTATCTCATCCATGGCTGACACTTCTTTAAATCTGCTTTGACCTCAGAGGACACAATGGAGACTGTACAGCACTCTATTCCCCCTTTTGCCTGTGTGCGTAAAGCAGAATTATAATGCACATGCACTTAATGCGTGTGTGATTTTGGAGAGTAAATCCACGGCTCAAGCCTTGGTGCTAGCAAGAATACACAATGCTGAAGTTGACTTCAGCGTCCTTGCTGAACTGAAGTCAACTTCAAATACAGACAGGTGGATACGTTTGATTTTCCTTGGGCTACGTTCACAGTGGCCCAAATCTGATTTTGTTTGCTCATATTTGACTCATATTTGGGGTTTTTTTTAATGACACGCAAATCAAATGGAATCTGATCTTTTCAATTCAGTTTGGGCCACTTTCATATGTGGTCCACATCACATACAGGGCGGTTCAGAGTTTATGTGACTTTTACGTCACTCTAGATTCATCATGCGGGTCACTTCACAACCGTGATCTGTTCACACTGGAATCTGATATGTGCCACATTAAAAAAAGTAATGTGAACAGCCAACCAAAGCAAAGAAATCAGATGTGAGCAATAAATCAGAATTGAGCACTAAAGCTTGCATGAATGTAGCCTTAGTGAAACAATTTAGACTCAGGTACTGTAATAAATCTGTCATATGGGTCACTGATATGTATGTGTGAGGCACTACTGGCAGTTCCCAACAGATAAAAGATCAAATGTGATCATTACCAATCACTTGAGATTAATTTAAGATACATTCAGATGCCAGACACAGTGTGGACACAATGTATCTGAATATAAGAATTGTTTTGGTGCCTGGTTCTTGTTTGTCTTTTACACATACTGATGTTCCTCCCTCTGTCTTGCCTCCTATCTTGTCTGCAGGTAAAAAGAAGATGTCCCTGTATGACAGCCAGGCTCCAATCTGCCCCATCTGCCAGGTGCTGCTCAGGCCCGGAGAGCTCCAGGAACACATGGAGACGGAGATAGAGAGGCTAGCTACCATATGTCTCAGGTAGGCCTTAAACAGTCTGCTTGGATTGCCGCTCGGGTGTGAAAAACGTTGTCCCTTGGGTGCTCTTCAGTCCAGGGATCTTACTGGTTTAGAATTGTAGAAATCCGAGTCATTTTGAGCCATTAAGGCCGTCATCAGTGCAAATACAAATACAAAAACAAATACAGAAGCCAGCTGACTCTTGAATATATTGGTACCCAAGTATGAATTCTGGTGGCTGGAAGACTTTTTTTTTTTTTACTTTTGACAGAAGCTAGCTCTCTTTCCCCTTGTCTTTATCATGTATGTAGAAATCAAACTGATACCAATCCTCTCAACTGTAAAGCAGCAACATTTCTCAAAATGTACATTTAGGTATTTCTTTAATATTCCCAAAGGTTGAATGTAAAAAAGTCTAATAAGCTAATTAAACATACAGTATGTCAACATTAATTAGCTTGAGTCAGTGACATTATCTGGTTATTAATTATAAATAAAGGGACGGTAAACAAAATTTTTTAGACAAATGCTTTACTGGCTCATAAAGATAAATATTTTGTTGGCACAGGGTGAAGGCTGAGCTTTAACTCAGCTTTTATGTCAGGCTCACTGACTGCTATTCTTCCCTTGCGGAGATTTTGGTGCCATAAATCTGCATAAAAGGCAGAGGCATGCCGTCTACGTAACGCTAAGTGTTTCCTACAGGGATTAGGATTCAAACCTGTGACCTCGAGTTCACTGCCGCCCCCTTTCTCTCCCTGTGGCAGTTGCACGAGCTGTTTTACGGTGGATAAATCAACTCCAAGCCCTTTTAACGATGGGACACAACCATTAGGATCCATATTTCACCTTGACCGCACGTCTGGCTGTGTGTACGTGTGTGTGTTTGTGTACACAGTGTGTGGCCTGTGTGAGGCTGTGTTTGTGTATGACCCGGTGTCCACCTAAGCGGCCCATCTTTATGATAGTCCCCATTAACCTGGAGGAACAGGGCGACAGATAGCGTCACCCCACGTGGAAATCATACTTCATTTACCCCCGTTTACACCTCCTGTACCCCTCCTCCCATCTGTCCACGTCCATATACTGTACCAGTCCTCCTCATTCCTCCTCTCCTCTTCTTCCTTCTTGTTTCCCCATCCTTCCATCCTTCTCTCTCCCTGCTATCGCCTACTTTTTCTTTTGTTATACCTTTGTCCACCCTTACTCACATCCTTTGTAGTCCTCCCTTCTCTCTTTTTCTACTCTACATAGCTATCCATGTTTTCCACGTTATCTAAACCAGTCTTGTCATTTCTTCATTCTCTGATTTTACCATGGTTCTAGAAGCTGCAAGCTTAACATCAAACCAAAGCAGTGACCCAGTATAAACCCATTGTCCTCGGTGTGAACAGGTGTGTATTTCTTTCCTGGCTTTGTGATGAGGAAAGGACGTATGTAGAGACAGCAAGACAAGAACAAGCTTGAGTAAGTAATGGAGAGAGATGTAGCCTGTGGGCAAAATTATTCCTTACCTAAAAAACAAATGGGAATGGAAAATGGGGGAGGATTGGTGATAAGATGAAGAAGCTGGTGGGATGAGAAGTCAGAGCCAGAGACGGACATCTAAGTGAGGTGAAGAATAGCATAATAAACATAAATCAGCTTCTTCAGCTCTAGAGTCACGGAGGCGGTTTAGTTGTTACCTGAAATTCCAACAATTATGCAAGAAACCCCGAGTGCACACCATCCCTTGTTGAAGGCCGGGAGATGTGGCTGAAAGCTCTGGGAAAGTGGATCTAGAGATAGAGAATAGAAGAAGATAGAATACATGAGAGCTGAGTGAGGGTCATCCATCATTGTCTGATATGGTGAGGTGTGTGTGTGTATGTGTGTGTGTCTGTGTAGTGTGTGTGTGTGTGTGTGTGTGTGTGTGTGTGTGTGTTTCAATAATTAATAAAGGTTAGAAGTCTGCCCTTCCCTAGGCTCAAATCCCATTGCACACCCTCACACATACACACACACGGTTATTTAAGGAAACAGCGTCATCCCCGGGTGAGATGGGATGGTGGCTAACGTCACGCCTGGCTGATTTAGCTACTCGACATTAACCCATCCTACACATACACACACCACGAGAAACAAAAAGGGGGACAGGAGAGGAGGGAGAAAAGAAGGATGCGAGGGATAACTTTTTAATGTGTATTGATGGAAATATGTTTCTTTACACACACACACACACACACACACACAAATACACAAAATGTCTCGGTGCCGCTTCGTATGTGCGTCCGCGGCAATGGAAGCAGGACATAAAATGAAAGCAGAATGTGTGTGTATGTGTGTGTTACATCACAAAACCAACCTCATTCTATATCTCACACACACACACACACACACACAGTCTGTCTCTCCCTCTCCCCGGCTCTCTGCATGGTAGCAGCCATCATTGAAAGTGACAGTGGGAATTTGGTCCAATTTGTAGTAAATCTGCCTTTAATGACGACCAGCGCTTGCTGAATGAAAGAGCTGTGGGTATGGAAACGAAGGGGTGTGTGTGTGTGTGTGTGTGTGTGTGTGTGTGTGTGTGTGTGTGTGTGTGTGAGACAAATGTGTGTGTCCTATATCTGCCTGGTCTCCTCTATATTCTATATTCAGTTATTCTGTGTGTTTCTATTTGTTTTATTTGTCTTCTGTCTTTGCTGTTCTCGCTGCCTGTGTGTTTGTGTGTGTGCCAACCTGTCCTCTCTTGTGACTGTGAGCTCTGCCGCTTGTTCATGGGCCACAGCTTCTCATGTAAGAACATGGAAATCACACACACACAAACACACACACACACATACACACACAGTTGAGCAAATGGAAATCTATCATGCCCTGTACACGTCAGGTGGCTTGTGGGGCCAAAGTAATCTACATACCCCATCACCCCCCTCTTCTTCATACCCCTACTTCTCTTCCTCTTCCTCCTCCTCCTCCTCCTCCTCCTCCTCCATAATCAATTCACCTCCATAAGAGTAAGCTCCCACTTCTCTTGCAGACGACACAAAAAGGCAAAAAGCAATCAGTATCTGGAGGTTAGCACCATCCCTCCATTCCACCTCATCCAACTCCCACTGAAAAAGATCTCTCTCTCTCTCTCTCTCTCTCTCTGTCTCTCTCTCTCTCTCTCTCTCTACAAGGGAGCGAAGGTGGGAGGGGGCAGAGGCTCTGTCAGTCAAACTCAGTCTGTGTCTGCTTGTGTAAGATTGATGCAGATTTAACAAGGTTTGGGAGGGTGGGCACTTTCACTGAATGGAACTGCTTCCAAATGACTGATCAGCCCAGTTCAAACCAGTGCTAACACAGGAGACTGGCCTAGACTAAGTACAGTATCTGAGGGCCAGAGGGTGTTGTGATTTTTGATTTTGGGCTATATAAATAAAATTGGACTTGACAGATGTTTTAGAACTTATTTTACTTTCCCCTGAATATTAGTTATATATATTTTTCTTGTGGCGGTAATTTAAAAAGCATTGTTAGCATAATAGGTGGCTGGCAGGCTCTCATTTATCAGTTCTTTAACATGTTTAGAAGGAGGGATTCTACAACAACAATGTATAACTGGGTCTCCAGATTATAACATCAGACAATGAGCAGTGATTGAAAATGTAAAGACCCTTCATCTTATTCAAAAGATTTTCTGGAATCACAATAAGAATTATATTACCATCTCAAATAAAGGTTATGATAATTCCTCACTGCAAAGTATTTTCACTCTACAGGAGTTCTGGAGCTCTGCATCCAGAAATAGTTTAACTTTCTTAATAGCTTAATAGCTTTTAAGATAGGGAACTAAGGGGATACGAGGTTAGAAGTTTTGAGATAACATTTAATAGCTTTAACCGAAAAAATCCTCTGCATTGGTCCCAGCTCCTTCTTTTTTTTCTCATTTAAAGTGACAACAATTTTACATATCACAGTCAGTTTATTCTTTATGTGGAGCACTACTCAGTCTGTGAGACCAGAAACCCTGCGTTACAGACTAGGTGAATGTAGTGTAAAATGCTACCAAGCACAGGGGGACTAACAAAAGACAAATGGGAAATGTAGGATCCAGCTTTTTTGAATGCTGACCTATAGCAGGGACTAAAAGTCTGGATATATCTCAGGCCTCTGCTGTTTTGACCGTTCTTTTTTAAATCCATCTCTCAAAAGTCTCCCAATTTTATTGAAGCGTAATACTAAATCACTGGAGTGTCTCTTTAAACTCGCACAGGAGGAGATGATCACATAGTAGGAAGATTTTATAATAACTTTAAGCTTTTACTTTTATTTTGAAGAATTATTTACCAACCTGTAATTATATTACAATTCCTTAATTATTATAATAATGTTTACTTCCTGTAAATTCATTACTTTCTTACACTGCTACTACAGTAATAACATTTCAAACTCAAGAGGTTGCCATGGTGTATTACCGGAGTTAGGTAATACCCTAACCCTAACCCTGGATATAAATGTAATGGTTATTTTTGTAATTACTAACATAATCTATTGGATTACCCCATACCCCTATCAATATCTAAGAGGGTTAATACAGCATTGTACTTCCATCTCTCTATCTCACAAAAAAAGAAAAAGGGTACACTTGAGCCACCACCTGATGCCTTGTAGCTACGACTACTTCCTGTTTCTGATCTCTCAGGTTCTTTCCCCTCCTTTAGGTTGAACAAGTTTAGAGATGTATGACGTGGTGGGACAGTGTGTGCTTGAAACAAGACTTTGAAAGCACCCACAATGCCCTTACCTGCCTCCCCCGGTTCACACACATGCCTCATTACCACAACACAATTTAAATTGCTTTGTCTCTCGTCTTTCATCGCCCCCTTCCTTCCTTTTCCTCCTGTCTGTCTGTGTGTTTGTTTCTCTTTGCCGTGTCGCTCATTTCCACACTCTTATCCTTGCTCTGACACGGCAGGCAGTTGGAATTTCCAGCCCCATAACCCTCGCCATCAAAAATTCATAGAACCGGGCAAACAGACGTGTGAAGCTGCGAGAAGAGGCGGCGACACAACAACTCTCCCATCACTCCCTCTTCTTTCTTTCTCTCATTTTCTGTCTTCTTTCATCTTTCCCTCGCTCGATCTCTCTCTTTATGTTGCCCGCCACATCTCTCTCTCTCTCACCTCACATTTCATCTCCTCCTACCTCTTCTCTGTGTCTCCCCCTTTTTTTCACTCCCTTTCATCTCTCCATCACCCCCTCTGTCACTGTGGCAATTTTCTCCCATCGTGGCAGGCATGCAACTGCTGTCCTCTCTCCCCCTCTCCCTCCTTCTCTTGTCGCTGTTTGACACTGTCAACAAGCAGGTAGAGGTGGCTGTTATTGTTGATGCCTCTGCAGAGGTTCCAGGTAATGAATAAAAGAGAGATAGAGGGAGAAGGAGAGAGAGATGACAGAGACAGAGATAGAAAAGAGAGGTGGTGGTGGTGGTGGGGGGGCGGCGTTGGCAGATTCCCCTGCATTACACAGCAGCTTGACTGTGTCACCCATGTTTATTCTCTTTGTTGGTGGAGGTGAGGCCCGCTGCTCAGCTTTCACGCACACAGTAGCAAGACAATATACAGATGCAAGCACACACACACACACACACACACACACACACACACACACAGCACAGACGCAGTAATGACACGTTTTACCTGTTCACCATGCACACAGACATTTAATATATACAGTTCTGTGTATATTGTACACTGATCCACATGCACACTTTCACTAGCACTAGCTACTCCTCTCAGATCATAAAGGAATCAGTCACATCAAATGAGGAAATAATGAATAATGAAAATAAAATAATAATGAAAACTAATAAGTAATATTAGCTCCAAGAGCTCACTAACCTAATATCCAGTCATTTGATATTTTTTATTATTTATTGTCAAAAGTTTTGGTTACAGACACAGATAAATAAATAAAAAACTGTTTATTTATCTCATGGTATATGCCAAACAATCATGTCGGAGTATTTACACATCAACATCCTGCTCTTTTCCTGTAAAACACTAAAATGATGATGGCGACTGTTAGATTGGGGTGGGCTAGCTGCTGGCCAACCAATATCACAGTAGAAGCTTCTTGTTTGGTCTTTAGTTGGCAGAAATATGTAATATTAAAGAAGCTGAACAAGCTCCAAACTGTTAGGCCTTTAAAGAGGTACTCCAACAATTTAATATTGCACTTCCATAAAGTTGAATGGTCAATGAGAGACTGATCAAAAAAAACAAAAAAAAAACATTGATTCAACAGAGGCCAATAAATCTTGACTTTTAGCTTTTAAAAACCCTACATTTACCATGATGCAACCAGCATCTTGTCATCAGCCTCTCCTTGTCTGGTAGACATTACAGAATGTGTGTAAGGAAAAAATACATTCACAGTACTTCCATCTCTCTATCTTATCATGCATTCCATCCTAACACTGTGCAGCTATGCATTATATGTCTGTCTTATATTTTACGTGTCTTGCTCTTATGCCTTCTCGTGCACCACTTTGTAAATTCTTCTCTCAGATAAGTGACATATAAATAAGGCTTCTTATTCTTATTATCCACCCATCCATCCATTGAAAAAGGAAATCCCTTGTCTACCAAGGCATGCTGTCAGATTAGAGGTCGCGCTCAATTCAGTTTCAGGCACATTCCCTTCCATGGTTTGCCTCCATCTGTCTGTCAGTGTGTGTGTGTGTGTGTGTGTGTGTGTGTGTGTGTGTGTGTGTGTGTGTGTGTGTGTGAGTGTGTCCAAGGGGGTCTGGAGTGCTAACAGGGTCTCAAAGCAAACATGACAACCCTGTCTCGCTTTGTCAACGTCAAGCTTGTCGCAACGCTTCGAGAAGCTCGGAGAAATGTATCTGTGTGTTCAAGAGAAAGTCAGAGAGAGAGAAAGGCAGGAAGAAAGAAGGATGGGGAGAAAGAAAGAGAGAGATGGAGAGAAAAGGGATGAGGAGAGAGCATAAAAAAAAGAAATGAAGGAACAACAAATTAATTGAGAATAAGGTGGGGGGTAAATGAATGAAAGAATCAGACAGTAAAAGTGTCAGAAATGAAGTAACACATGAATTGAATGTGTCTGTTTTATTGGCAGAATAGAGGCTAGTTAATATATTTCCATCATTCATCATCAGTCATGTATCCATCTACACACAACTCTTGGAACATGTCCTTCTTTCTTACTGTCTTACATCTTATTTCATTCTCTTTGCCCCCCTCTCTGTCCCATCATCCCTATAATGTTTACAAGTCAGCCGATTGTCCTCCATGTATTTCAGAGTCAAAGTGACCACAGGCTGACTCCACTGACAAATCAAATCACAGCAAAATCAGTTATTTCCTGCTTTTGTTACTGCAACAAACAATGTGTGTGTATGTGTGGTGAGACAAATCTGGAGAATGACTGCCTCAGTAAAGAATATCCAGCTAATATACTGAGTATTCCTTCTATTTTCAGTCATATTTTTCAATTACCCTAAAGAAGAGTAGCCAGAGATGGATGAAAGGTGAAAGAGAACTGAAGACAGATAGAGGAAATGTAGTATATTGGTGTATACTAGTAACCCATTTGTGCAGTTTCTGGTGTAACTGCGTACACCCTTCCAGAAGTACATAATACCTTAAAACTGAATGACCTCTCAGAAATATGTCTAGATGCTTAAAAAAAACAAGCAGACAAGATTCAACATATAATATTACAAACTCACTAAATTCTGTTTTGTCTTCTTTCTCTCCTGCAGTAAGAACCCCTCACCCAAGGATGGAGCAGCCACTCCTGGAACCCCCAAGGTGAGATGAACCTCAATTTCTGTAACCTGTAATTCCATAAGTTATCTATGTTTAGATTATATACATCCCTCATTATTTATTTTCTCATCTAAGTGTTTCAATGCTCTTTGTTTATTCACATCGACATAGTTCAAAAAGAGAAAAGGATTTTAGGTGATTGAATACAAAATGAGATGCATGCATAGTAAACCTAGTTAGATTTAAAAACATGACACATTTTCAGTGATACGTGGTGTAGTTCCTTACTGTCCAACTCAGAGCTGTTACTCTGAAGCCTCTGTTCCTCTCTGCTGCACTAAGGGTAAATCAGCTGTACTGTAGGCCTCTGTCTTATATCTTACACACACACACACACACACACACACACACACACACACACACACAGTACCAGTCTCCCGTGGTCCAGCAGGCAGCAGAGCCAAGAGGCACTGTACTGTGATTGTTCCAATTAGAGAGACAGAGATGCAGACAGACAGAAAAGAAAGAAAATAAAAGAGAAGACAGATAATGTCAGATTGTAGGAAGACGGATTTATGATTCCATCAAGTAGGCATTCCTGAACACATCACCAGCTGCCAGAATAAAATTATATAAATATATAACATTAGACCTTTCTATATCCTAAACTAGAAAGCCCAACTCTCATTTAAGAGAAACTGCAATAATACAATAATATGAGTGCACTTGATAGCTTGGTAGTATGGTGGATTTTAACAAATACAGGAAAAAGGCAGAGAAAATAAACAAAAGATGGAGTCTTGTTTCAAGAAATGACTTCACATGTCACTTCCAACCTGCTTGATTTTGAAAACTTCAAAATTCAGTTGTCGTTTTTCCTGAAAGTATCCCTAAAGCAATCAGACTTCATAATTTCCATGTCTGTTCATTTCTAACTAACGAACATGTGAAAGTCAGAAGAAGAAAAAGTTCATCCAAGGTGCACATGAATGCAACATGAGAGCTCTAGAATAATACACAGGAGGCCATTTTCATTCGCACACACCTTTGGGTGCTGACCCAGGCTTAGCGCAACACTGTGGGTGGGCTCGTACTTGAGAAAGGCAGAAAGCGCAGGAGTGAGCGCCGGCCTTCCTCTCCGGCCGTGACTGCGCATCTCACCGCTGTTGTTTAGTATTCAGCAGCAGGCCATGGACAATGGAGAGGGCCAGTCTGAAGCACATGAGCCTGTTGTCATCGTCTCCTCCCCGGTATGCACCACCCACCCACATTAGACCGGAGATTAACCCCAACGCACCTCCTTATGTGGTGTTCAGTCCACTTTGTGTAGTCCTTGCTGAGCTAAGGTGATTGGATCAGACTGAAAACATGTGATATCTGCAGGGCCACACACTCTTTGACACACACACACCCATGTTAGATACTACGCCACATGCATGTGAAAAGATTTAGACACAACCTTTTCTCTTTGCCTCATTTTATGTGTTTATTATTGATTTACACATACAAAATACAGATTTAAACACTTTATTTTAGTCTTTAAGGTCAAATTTAGAGTTAAAATGTCTGTACCACGAGGTATACATCCATTTGCTCATCCGAATGTAGCGTTAAAGGCAACCTTTTCGAAGCTGATCTCTTCGCGTGTTGATTTAATTGGTTGGTTTAAAAGACCAAAATTTCAATGGAAGATCTTCATTTACAATTTCTTCGTAGAATACCGCTAAATGTCATATTCTAATGATAAAACTTAAGCATATTCCCAGAACGCCCCCAGGTAAATGATTCCTGACCTTTTTAAACCTGAGTAAAAGAGGGGGGGGGGAAAGACAGCACGCACACACTCACACACTCACACAGAGGCATAAAAGCATCATGCATAATGTCCAATTTACTGTGGCAGCACTGGAGGTTGGTCATTTCTCACATATTATTATTAGATTACTGCTGTCGAGCACTTAAGCCTCTGCTCTGCCCCTTTCCACTTGATTAATAGGAGACGACTGTAAATACAAATATTTCATAGCTGCCTTGTAAAAAAAAAAAAAAAAGCAGCAGCATAGGCACACATGAAAATACAAGCACACACACACACACACACACACACACACACACACACACACACACACACACACACACACACAGCCAGAGCTCTGTCAGGACTAAGCCTTGTAAAAAAGTGATATTGCTCCTCTTTTCTTCCCTTCTTCTCTCTTTCACATCATTATCTGCTTGCGTCTTGTTCACTTGAGGAATTCCCTGGATTGTCTTTGTCACAGAGTGGGTTAGAAGAGGATATTGTCTTCTATGTGTGTGTCTATGAGAGGGAAAGAGAGAGTGTGCGTTTGTAAGTGTTGTAAGACAGATTTATGGACAGGCAGTGTCCCGTAATGTCAGACAGTTACGCTCCTCCTTTTCAGATGTTTACCCTTCCTCCTCCTCTTCTCCCTTCTTCCTCTCTTTTTCATCACTCGTTCTTCCCTAACTCCTCTTAACGTCCCATAAACATTAACTCTAATCAGTGGAAGGGACTTTATAGACAAAGTCAGGCAGGTTACAGTCATCATCAATGACGTGTCGCTCTCAGCATCTGTGGCAATAACACTCTTGGATTTCTCCAAGGGTAAAGATTTCCCATTTCCATTTTTCTTTCCTGTGTAAGTGATCTTTTGTACAGAAATAAAAAAAATTATTTTTGGATATGTATTCATTTGATACAGAACAAGGTAAAAAAACAAACAAAAAAAAGCTTTTGCTTCCATTTTGTTGTTGTTTTTCCCAGTGCTTTACAGTCTACAGTAATTTTGAATTTAGCTTTAAATTGAGCACTTACACATCAACTAACTGTTTCCATCTTTTACTCTTCAACTGCTTTCATCTCTGGACATTTTGACTGCATTAATCCCTTTCTCTTCAACTGTCACCTCTGCTTTCGATGCATACACTTCAAATCCTCAGATCTTCACCTATGATTAACACAAAAAAGCTCCTGCAACCTCTACTGATCAGTAACACTTTCCAAAAACTGCTTCCCATGCTCACACTTCAGCTGACACTTTAACTGACATCATGTCTTTCAGGATTTACACAGCTCCAGAATTTCGACTCCTTTCAGCTCCTAAATTTCAGCTGTTACTTCAGCTGCATTCAGTGTTTGATCTCCGACTTTGGCTTCTTTTAGCGCCTCCATTTTAATTGCTATTTCAAACTCTTCTATCATTTGGACTATGATTGCCACTTCAAACTACAGTTTTGAAATTTCAGTAGCCAGCACATCTTCCGAAAAATGTTGAGTTTGTAGTTTGTATGGACCTTATGGACATGGCAAATCATTCAAATGACCTTATTGTCAAGACAAGCTAAGCTGTGTGTGGCTACATCCAGGGGTGTTATCTCTCCAACAGTGAAGTTACATCTGTTTTCCTAAGATTTATTTATTTATTTATTTTTTTTTTTTTGAAATAGCATTACTCTTGCCTCGTCTATGTTTATTGATTATTCCCATGCAGCAGCTGTCAAGCGAGGACAGGTACTGCTGTAATCATTGCTCCAGAGGTGATAATATAACAAGATCATCTGCATATAGAAGACATTTTATTTCTCTCTCTCTGTCTCTCTGTCTCTAGTCAATGCTGTTGTCGGTGCACATCAAGCGTGAGGGAGAGTCTCCTGTGGTCTCGCCCCTGTCCTCTGAAGACATCCACCACTCCGACAGATACCAGGTCACACTCAAGCACATATACACACACTCACACACACGGGTTGAATAACAGTCAGTCTAGATTGACACCATCATCCTGTTTGTCCCTTAGGTCACTTCTCCAGAGTAGTATCCAGCTCACTTTCTCTATACTTCTAACTTCTTCTCAGTTATAGTGAAATGAATCCTGTATGTTAAGCATACTGTCATTACGAATAAGCAGTAATAACCAAGGAGGTATATGATCCATAATCACCAAAAGCACTACAATCATCCATTTTAAATCGGATAATGTACACCTTGTCTGTTATTATCCCCTCCCAGCCAATCAGTCAAGAATTCTTAGTGACCATGGTACAATGGTAAATCTAAACACTCCACTCCTCCTACAAATACTATAGCCAGATTTGTACTGACATTTCATAAATCAAATAATATTGGAAATTAACACATTTTATATAACTTGCTGGATACGAACAGCACAGGCTCTAGTGGGATCTTCCCAGTACAAGCACTGTTTTAGTTGTTGAGTTGTTTCACAGGTAGATTGCGTATTTTAACTCTAACGATGTGGTGTTCAATGTGGGATACATCAATGTTTTAAGACATGCATGTTCAATGTTTTAAGCTGAGGTGATATTTTCTGTTTCTGTCACACAACTGTCATCACAAATTCACAAATCTGGTTAATTTGTGTTAATTATAAAGCACCCCTGCTGTTGTTGACCAAACTTCAATGAGACCCTCCTCTGATGTTATATTTTTATTTATTTTTTTCATATTAACTATGTAGCAAATCATAGGACTTCCATAATATATTGTATCAAATTGTGATTTTCCCTAATCATGACAGATGTGTAACAGTTAAACTGGGAATTACAGTAGATTGTGGGTTTTATACCCTCTCAGCAGTTAAGTTGACCAACAGGCCAATCTCCTTAAATCTCTGATATTTTTAAAGCCACCCTGACTGCTTTTATCTCTTAAATTCATCAAAGTTTGTTCGGGTAATTCTTCTGGCCATGATGTATCTCTGGGTTAAGTGGGTTTCCCCCCTCGCACCATAAAATAAGAACTATTAAGTCCATGCAGACGTTACATCCATACGTTCAGGATGACACAGCTCATAAAGACCTTATAGCGATAAAGTAGATTTTCTCATTAAGTGAAACTGCTGAAATCACCTTATATTATACAAATGATTAAGTCAATGGTGACTCTTTTTACCACCATGAAAATGGAGCATAATGGCAGACTTTGCACCTTCTCTCTGCCTGTCAGTCCGTCTCAGTGCTCTTTTCCTCTCTACCTCTTCCCTTCCTCTAAAATCCTGACCTATCCGCAGCCATTCAGTGAGTGTATCATAATGATACGGTAGTAGTGGTGATGCGAGGCGAGTGGGCCTATAACTCAAGTGGGGCCTGGGAGGGGAAGGGAAGGGAGAGATGGAAGGATTGAGGGGACAGATAGAGGGCCAGAACAGAAGGAGAAGGCCAGACTGCTTGTCGGCTCTCGCTGATGGACGATGGTCCGAAGGTGAGAGGACTGAACCGCCGCCTACTCACTGTTGCCGTGTCAAAGAGAGGGCATCCATAACTGCGACGGGGGATGCTTTAGTCAGCATATAGCTAAAGGCATACAGGCCTCTGGGTTTGAATAGACCCAGTAGACCTGAGGTGCACATTCTGCAAGAGACAGAAGAGGAGGGGAGAAGAAGAAAGAAATCTGACCTCACTTAATTTATTTCTCAATCTTGTACTTTTAATGATAAGACCATTATTCTTAATAATACGGGGGAATTTACCCCAGGCATCCTGAACTACCAAAGGCCCCAAATGTTCCACATTCACTGAGATAAATGATCACTTAACTGTACGCCACAGTTGCCAGTGGTGGAAGGTAACTGATTTACTCACGTACTATACTTAAGTACAATTTGAGGTACTTTTACACACTTTATACTTCAGTTCAGAGGGAAGTAAGTTTTACTACAATCTACTTTGCAGATAGATTTTACATCAAAAAAGTACAAAATACAATATATTATTTAAGACTAAAGCAGTGGTTCTCAAGAAACAGTGTCTAGATGGGCCCTTTGTGACATTCGATAATTCGACATTTGGTTAAATCCAATGTCCCCCCCCCCCCATAAAAAGCAAAGATTACAGAAAAGTCAAAAATATGAACACAAATTTATATCGCAAAAACTTTGGTTTTCCTTCTTTAATTTCTCACACCCCGCAGATTTTTCTTGACACCCTTTGTAAAGGAGGTCAACCCCATGTTTTGGATCCACTGGACTAAACATTTTTAGTATTACTATTAGTATTAGCAGTCAATGTAATGTAAGGGCCCTTTTTCTGTATAATAAGTACTTTTTCTTTTGACACTTACCTCTGTAATTTTACTTAAATGAAGGGCCTCGACTTGTAATGGAGTCATTTTACATTGTTGTATTGGTATTTTTTACTTAGGTAAAAGATCTGCGTACTTCTTCCACCACGGACAGTTGAATAATACGAACTTAAGTTTGCTGCAAAACTGTCTATAATCTGCTGCACACACAGAAAAGACCAAATAGCTACCAAGAAACTACACTTTAAGAGTAAAAAGAGATGTTCACAAACACCAAACTGTCAAGCTTCTTAACATCTTTGACATAACTTCACTGAGTAAAATCCTCTAATTCTTCTCTTTTGTGTCAGCCTGTATAAACAGTAGTAGTAAGGTAGAGTAGCCAGTATGTCTGTATGTAAAACACCAAACCCATTGATTAAAAGGAGACCGTTTAATGAAACCCGTTGCTTCCCCCTAGCGGTCGACATCCGGAACAACACGTGACGTTTCCCTACTTCCGTCTCCAGCGCGTCACATGATCAAAACAAGCCAACATGGCGTCGGACATGAGTAGTATTTGTCGATACGGGCGGCACTTTCAATCCTTTTCCATCCGTATTAAATAATAGATAGAAGCTTTAGTTCGCAGCGATGTTCAGTATCTGGACACACAGTCGCCAGTTTGCAGCAGTGACTTTTGGCGGCTGTACAATGAGCTGTGAGTGAGCCCTGACAGTTATGGAGGAGGTGGAAAACAATAGAGAAGTAGGTTTGTTTACAGTGCCCTAGTCTCAGCATCCAAAGCAATCCCATTCTGAAAAGTTATATTTGTACTTGTAAACATATTATAGTGTTTCTTTATTGTCTAATGTATGTTTCCCCCCTCTCCTTTCTCCTCTGCTTGCAGACATTTTTACGAGTTCGAGCAAACAGGCAAACAAGATTGAATGGTATGTACACATTCCGTTTCATCTCCTGAGTGATGCTTAATATCGCTTATTAATATACATTACATGACTCCAACTCCAAGTTATACAGTGTAAATGTCCTCATTAAGAGTTTGTATTAGTGTACTCAGGTTTGCTTTTGATCTTAGAAGGTTTGGAAAAAAGATGATACAGTTACTTTAATGTCAGAACAGTTTATAGATATGGTAGAATGAATTAGGAAATAAAAAGTTAAAATATATTGATGTATAAAAAGCTTATCTTTTGTATATATGTCAGGAAGTTAAATAGGAAGTGATAAAAATTATTATAACCATAAATGACTGAGAAACATTATGATATCACAGTGTCAAGGCACAGGAGGCAAAATAGTTTTGTCATGCAGTTTGACTTTGTGATAGTCAATTTTATTTATATTTTATATATACATTTTCACAGCATGCTTAATAATCAATGTTTAGTCATTTCTGAAAGGTTTTTATATTTAATGGAGCATATATCAGGATGGTCTATCATTCCTCAGTGATGATGTCATGTGACAGAGAAAGTTTTTGAACCATCAGTCTGAAGAAGCCAAAAGCATCTTATCACATGGCGATCTGTAAAAAACTCTGTTCTTAGGGTATTTTCACTATCCTCAAAGACTATTGTAAAACGAATATAAATACAAAATATCCCAGCTGTTGCACAAACATAGATTTTAAACCAGTTTTCCAAGTTGCATCTGTGTTTCCTAATCCATGTAGCTGGAAATGACCTCTCTTTTGACTCTTTTTGTAAAACACAAGCAAAACATGCCATTACACCACCATACCAACTACATTAAAACATTAAATTTTGGTTCACATTGTACAAATTGAGCATGGCCATTTGCCATTTCTGGCTGTCTTGGTTTGGATTAGAGGCACTTTTGAAAACTGGATTCTTATCTTGATCACTTGAATGTAATCTAATATTTAACATTAGACATAAACTGGGGTTAAACTCTGAGAAAACTCTTCAGAACTTCTGGCTAACTTTTCTAAGTAGCAGGGTTTTCCAACGTTTTAATTGCTGTATTTGGTCATTGTGCTGCTCCAGAGCCTTGATAGGCATCACTGTAGACTTTATAAATGGTGGCACTGAAGGAGAAAGTTTTCTGGTTTGCACCAACTGTCACAATACTGAATTTCTTACATGTTAAATCAACCTGTATGTTTTCAGAATTGTCAACTTTTTTCAGCCACCACTGTCAACTTTTATTGAAAATACGTATCCTTTCTTATCAAGGGAGGCTGAAGCAGTGTAAAACCAATAAATGCTAATATAATCAATACATTCGTATCTGTAACAGTTGACTCGTGCCACATTGGTGCCTGTCTGTATTGCAAGATATTTAGTGTGTCCGGTCTTGAGGCAACGCATGGATAACTCAGCCTTTTTCAGTCAGAGCCCATGACAAGAGCCATTGAAGACTTAGTTTAAACTCCGCCCTCCATTACTTTCTTTCTGCCCTCATGTGGAACCAGGCATCATGTGGGGTATAACAGCTGATGGGGGGGGGGCAGAGATCCCTGCCGGACCTAATTAGCAGCCCTTTCCCTTCTCTATTTAACAACGCTCCTCTCGATTAGCGTCAGGGGAGAATTGGTGAGGAGGAGGAGGCTGTTTCTCTCTTTAACCCTCCCAGCCTCACTCGTTCCATCTTCTTCCCCTGCAGTTATGGCGTATTGCCTTATGTCCTCCTCCTCCTCCTTTCCCTCCATCCCTTGCCACAGTCCCTCTTGGCCTCCTCTGCTTTCCCAGCCAGCTAAAAATTAATGTCCCCGCGCGCCATTTGCAGTTAAGAAAAAACGACAGAGACTCGGGGCGCAATGACGGCTGTTCTGCTCTGTTAAATTTCTAATTAAATTGTGTGTGTGTGGGGTGGTGGGAGCTGTGACAGGAGGGCAGGGAAGGAAAGAGAGAAGAAACAGAGGGAGAGGAATGGCGAGGATGTGGAGTGCAGGAAGGGTTGCACGTCCGGCTCTTGTCATTTCTTTCTGTACACTTTTCAGAAAAGGCCAAGTTTAGCCAGCTCTGCCTCCTCCCATATGCTTCTAAGAGTTGAGCTGTATTACACTGAATATGATCCAATCAGGGAAGATCCATCTGTCATGAATAGTCCTCAGGTCTTTTTTAGATACTCTCCTGTTCTTTGAAACCAGTGATATTATTGTCTAAAGAAAACATAATGGAAAAAACTGACATTAAAACTAGTCTGTGTCTGTCTTTCTCTTTTCCCTCCGTTTCCAGCCCGTATAGGCAAGATGAAGAGGAGGAAGCCTGAGGAGGGGGGCCAGGTATGTCCGCTGTGCAGTGCCCCATTGGCTGGGAGCGAGGAGGAGATGAGTAGACATGTGGAACAATGCCTGATCCAGGTAGTACAATCCTGGGCCCAAACCCCGCCTCCTACCTCCAGTCGGACAGCCTATCAACCTCTTCTCTTCCTGTAGTCGCTGACCAGTCACCTCTTTACTTCCTGTAGCTGCTGTCCAATCACCTCTGTACATTAGAGCAGATGCCAACCAATAGTTGAAATAGTAGTTTCTGTAGATTTAACTTCCTTCACACGGCAGCGCTGCATTCACATCATATGGGAATAACTGTCTGAAAGACTAGAACATATAAAAAACATACGGACATCAAAGTATTCACATGTCCATCATTAAATTTTGCCCCTGCAAAGCTGATACACAATTTAGTAGAAGTAGAATGCTGATATCAGCGGTTTCTCCCATGTGACATGGTTGCATCTTATCCATTGGCATGCAGCTCCTGTATGAGCATAACAGTTAGATCTTGAGTATTTCCTGCCAGAGTCCATCACCAGTCCTTCTTTCCTGTAGATGTTAAACATTACCTTCTTTCCTACAGTAGACAAACAAATCACCACCGCTCCTCCGGTATCTCCCCTCACTGACTACTGTCCATTACACTAGCTGTAGAGACACTAATACCTTCTTCTTCACTAGCACGCTTTAGGTGTTCCAGTGCTGTACCATGCCATGTTGAGCTGTGTTTTTATTACACAGTGTAAGAGTCCTGCACTCAACCATACTGTACTGGGATGTTAAAGTCCTGCTTGCAACCACGGCCAAAGCTCCTTTCTTCTTGTTCTAATTGGCGATCAAACAGATGGAAGATTCTGTGATTTCTGAACTCCTCTTTGCTGTGTATCTAAACTAGAGTTAGACATTTCGGGCAATCTTGTCACGCCCTGCTGAATCTTCCTGGTAAAACAATATTAGTACAGTAATGTTAGGCCAAATCACTGATTATCTCCAAATGCAAATGTCTAGAGGTTGTTGTTTTTTTTTTTTTTTTTTAAATCAGTTGCAGCAAGTTTTTCCAGCACTTTGCTTTTCTGTGTTCCCAGGTGAAATAGATCAATGTAGCAACAACTTGAGCTAACTGAGCCCTGCTGTCTGTCAGAAACATATTGAGTATGGGAACAAAAAGGTATAACACGAAAGTTTGATGGTTTTGCTGTTGAGTTTTGGGAAAAATAAAACCACAGAAGAAGAAAATAGTTGGAGCTTCCTGTAAAATAGTTGGCCTGAAACATTTGGGTGTTTAATGCTGTTGAGATTGCCAACAATAAAGGAACTTATCACAGCTGGTCATGGTATGGTACAGGTAAAGCGTGCTATGGATATCTGGCCTGTCTTCCACCACACCACTATTTAAAAAGAAAAAAAGTAAAATCATGTACATGAAGTTGTTGAAAAGACAAAAATGTCTCTGGTTGTCTGTGAAGTTTTTGCGCTCATTAACATGTGTCTCTGTGTGTGTGTGTGTCAGCGTGAGGGCGCGTTAGGCGATGATGATTCTGCAGACATGGATGGAGAGAATGGGCGGGGCTTTGAAGAGTACGAGTGGGCGGGGCAGAAGAGGATCAGAGCTACAGCTTTGCTCGAGGGAGGCTTCAGAGGTACAGACACACACACACACACACCTCATCTCACACAACACTGTGCTGGTTTCTGTTTCACATCAGTTTGTGACTGACTCGTCCTGTCGCAGCTGAGTTAGCTGTATGTGGTCATCCCGGATCCCTGTTTGTTCTCTCCTTCCTTATTCTCTGTCTGTCTCCTTCTTTGTTGCTCTGCTCATCCATCACTCTGTTGCTGTTCAGTGTGAGCAGTGTTAGTTCAGTGGGACCAGTGTTGAATGTGACCAGGGAGCTGTAATGGTGCCAGCGGTCTGGTGGCAGTTTAGGATGGCTCGGGGGCCGGCCTAGCTCAGCCTGGCTGGGCCCTACACAACCCCCTTAGCACAAGGAAGGAAAACACATTTAGCTGGGATATTGACCCGCTGGTCATGACTGTGTGTGTGTGTGTGTGTGTGTGTGTGTGTGTGTGTGTGTGTGTGTGTGTGTGTGTGTGTGTGCGTTTGTGCGCGCACGTCCAGCAATGCAGTTATAGAAGTGGATGGGAGAGCTGGTCACTGGGGAGCACGGCTGCTCTGTGAAACAAACACACCTGCAGAGCTTCTACTCAGCTCTCTGTCACTGTCTTTTGGTCTGTCTTCTCTTCAGACTTGTTGTTATGTTTAGCTATTATCATATCAATAATATCTTTTCTCCACCACTTTAATTTTATTAAGCAAGGTCTGAGCGAGAGAATGGACTTCTATGATAGGATTCAGCTCCTAGGCCACTTACAGGAGAAAGAGCTGAGCTATTTAGATTTATTTATTTTGATAATGTATGCAAATCACTAATGATTACAGTTTTGAGTTAGATGACAAAAGTGGTGCTGATGTGCAGTGTCAGCGTTGGACCTCACTAACACTCTTGTGACTGAATGGGAGCAAATCCCTGCAGACGGGTTCCAAACTCTTATGTAAAGTATTCCCAGGAGGGTGGAGGCTGTTAGGGCATGTTTGGGTTTCTGTGGCTGTATAATCTCTATACAACAGAAGAAACAGAATGTGCACACAGTTGAGAACATGAAAATAACAGATAGAATTTTTGCTTGATAAATATCTAGAATGATCGTTTAACAAAATTATTCATTTTGTTTCAGCAAAGTAATGCAACAGAAAGAGGTGTAGCTGCCTTAATGTAATACTTAAAGTTGGTAACACTGCTTCTGAAATCATGAGACAAACAGCATAACACAGTTTGCTCAGTCTTTACGTGTCTTTGCTAGAACAAGTCACTAAACAGAACACTTGCTGTTGCCCTAAGTGTTGGAATACATGCAGTTTGATGATTAAAACTGTGTAGTGCTCCACGATGGCCTCCCATTGTGGCCTCACTTGTGTCTGTGTGTAAAATGCGGAGAGAAAGAAAGATGGAAGCAGACCATCAAGATGTGCGCAGGTGGAGGTAAAGAGTTGCTGTCATCTCTGAGAGGCTCTTTCAAACCCTGCCTCTGCTTTCATCTGTCCCTCTTCCTGCTCGCCTCCTCTCTCCCTGTTCGATCCGTTGTTAAACACACACATGCTGAGCCTCACCTGCCTCTCTCTCTCCCCTCCCTACCCCCCTCCAAGCCAGAGAGAGAGGAGACAAGACAGATCAATGTTGAAATCTCAACTAAACCGCGCCAAAGAGCAGCTTGTGGGGTGGGAGGTGGCTTCCCCACCCGTCCATCCATCTCCCACAATGCGCCTTCCATCCGCCCGTCTCTCTTTCACGTCGTTAAACGAGCAGACACAGGACCCTTCTGCCGCGCTCTAATAGGGCACCTTGTGATGTGACGCAGATAAGTGAGGTGGCCTGGGGAGAGCGACTTGAAACGCGCACACACACACTCGGCAGAAGGCTCAGAAGGTGGATTTTGTCTTGAAAGCTCCTCAGTGGTTCTAACACTCGCCGCTGAATCCAGCAGGCTCCCGAGAGCCGGCTAGACGGATATAGAGATGTTGCGGGGGGCCTCCTCAGCTGGTAGGATGAAGAGAGGGCCTATCCCTCTGTGAAGTACCACCATCCTTGCCTCCCTTTGAGAGTGCAAGGAAGAAAGGCACAGGGAAAGCGGCTCTTTCAAGGGGCAGGAGAGAGGGGGAGGTAGGGAGAAAGGGAGGAAAAAATCGAACAAGATCAGTTTATGATTCAACTCTGTGTGAAGGAAGACTTCCCTGTGTCTCGCACCGGCTTAGCCAGGTTGAAAGGACCCACAGCACAGACAGAGAGCTTTCTTTATCTGTCTTAGTGGACTGTCTGTCTGTCGAAGTCTGTTTTATGAGCTGGAGAGCAACTGGATTGTACTTCTTAACTTTGCAGGAGACATTGAGTCTGTGTTTGAGGAAAATAATTGGTTTATTACAAAGTTTTCATCATAATTTCATTTAAAAATACTTTTATATTAGTGCCACTGTGAGACCTGAGTTTTGGTACTGATTATAAAGTTAGAGTTTTCATGATTTTGTCTTAAATCAGGAACTCTCTGATCAAAGAAATAAGAAGTCAACACTTAAAGTTGCCAACAGTCCAACACCTAAAAGTATAAAGTTTAAAATGATATGCAACTATCAAGTTCTGTCATTCTTGAATGTCTATGTCTATGCTAACTAAACAATTACCGTAAAACTTCTAATAATAGCCCGGGCGTTTATTTGCTTAAATCACTGAACTCCCCCTGCCTTTATTGGGGACAGGCGTCTATTTGGGACAGGCGTTTAATTCCTTTAGACAAGGCACAAAAGTAAACTAAACTGACTGCAGCTTCTCTTGAGATTTGTTTAGCAAATTTGACAACTAACATGATTATTATGATCGCTTCAGAGGTTTTTTTCCTTCTCTCTTGTTTACCATGTTACCAGTAATTCAGAATGAATTAATGTTACACTTTGGTGTTGATAGTTTTCGTAAAATATAGTGAACGATTGAATTGTGGAGAATCTAATTGATCTGCACGATGTGCATTATGTACATACTGACAGAAGTTTAAACATTTATATTTGCGTAGGAGATCAAAACGACGCAAAACTTGCTCAAGCAGGTTTTATACATACAGATTATTTCTATAAAATCTAGACCAGGCCTCTATTGGAGACCTGCATTTATTTGTCAAAACGTGTAGCCACACCAGGCTTTTAAAAGAGATCTGCGTCTATAGGGACCCTGCTTTTATTTGAAGTTTTACAGTAATCAGTTAATCCCACAGTTATAAAAATCTCAGCTATTGACTAGTTGAGTACAGTATTACCAATAGGAATGATGGTCTAAACTATGAAGTTATGTAGAACTTTTATCAGTAAGCTTTAACAAATAGCACCGCTGTATATTAATTAAACAGTAAGTTTGTAATGCAGCCTTATTTCCAGGTTTGCGCTTGATTATTTAAAGGTTACCCACAGACAGGTGGAAAGGCAGACAGGGAGGCAGACAGACAGATCCTGAGGTTTGATATCAGGCTGTCCTGAGAGACGGAGGAGGAGAAGAGGGGGATTATTGCAGGTTGAGATGGCCCAGAGGGATTGAGAAGAGGAGAAATCTGTGCTTTGTAAATGGACTTCAAAGATGGTCGTCTCATGTCTTTGTGTCTGTGTCCCTTTCCCCATCTTTCTTTCTGACCTGTAAATGGCAGAAAGATAGTGCGATGACCTTTGACACCCCTCCTCTCTGCTTCTTAGAGAGTCCTGATAATTGCTATGGTAACAGGATGTCGCAGAGGTCGGTCGATTGGTTGATCCGAGCTGTCAGTCAGCCTTTGATCGTGCCTGCCTCTTCAGATCTGTTCTTGTAGTGTTGTTGTGGTGACATGTATGTAGATGGAGTGTCTCCTGCTTTGCTGTCATGAAGCATGTTAAACCTGGAGGATAAAATGTGTAGTTAGTGATGTTAAGAGTCAACGATATGCAGGAGATGGTTATGATAATTAGACAGACCTGTGTGTGTGTGTGTGTGTGTGTGTGTGTGTGTGTGTGTGTGTGTGTGTGTGTGTGTGTGTGTTGATCATGCCTATCCAGCAGAAAAGAGGGGAAACAGGTCATCGAGCCAGACTGCTACAGGAGAGAGAAAATAAGTGATACACGAGTAAAGAGAAAAATGGAGCGATAAAAGGTGGTGGGAGAGATGTAAAGAAGCAGACTGTCGAGAAAAGGGCGTAAAGATAGGTAGGGGCAATGTGAAAGACTAAAGGTAAGAAAGAGGGAGTGGTGACACAAAAAAGGAGGGAAAAGGAGGTGAGGAAAGGAAGAGAGGTGAAGGGGAAAAAAGTGGGAGGGAGCGTCGGTGCATAATGTGAGTGAAAGGCAGTTAGAGTGGGGCTGACCTTTCCCTGGCCAGATTAGATTGGCCTGCCAAGACTGCTTAGAGGGACAGATAGAAGCACTAGGAACACACACACACAGGCCACACATATACTCACAGTTAACACACATAAGACATGTCCAGTGTGTACATGCACAAATTAGGCCATGTGAAATCTAGTTTTGAAGTGGACATGCATGTGCAACAATAAGAACCTACAGCATCTAACATGTTTTATTGTATATTAGACGCTTAACTGATAGTTCTATTCAGGGAGATCTAAATTAGGTGCGTCCACAAATTAGTAACCGGACAAGGAATCAGTGCTGTTCTGTTCTCTTACAAGTACCATCAGAATAAGATGAAAGACACTCTTTATAGATTAGCCATTTTTACATTTTAGTCATCTTGTTAGTCTTCAAGGGTTAAGGTCTCTCTCTCGTTCTGGATCAGGTTTTAATGGCTGTATTTTCTGTCTTCTGGCTGTCCTTGGGTCCCTTTTGGATCAAGGTTTCCGACAGGTCCTTGGGCTTCATCAAGTCCTCCGAGCCCACATGTTCCACTTCTTGTAACCAGTTGTTGTGGCGAACTAGCCACAAGATCAATAGTTTGATGAGTTGATTAGATCATGCCCCGACCACCACTCCAACACACACTGCAGCCCTCCTGCACACATTAGTGCATTAGTGGTTTGTGTTGCACTCTGATCTAGTTGGTCACCCATTCACAGCTGATGGATGAGAATCTAGGTACTTACCTTCCCTGGCTTGGCTGACCCTGTGGCATTGTGGGTAAAATTCTTCTGTCATAGGAATAGAAGGACAAATGAGAACCATTTGTCTTGCCTCCCTTATGAACTCAACTGTGGACTCAAACTCAAATTGTCACTCTGTGTGTCACTTGTCAGCGCAGGGTGGTAACTAAGGTGTTTGATGGTAAATGGGTAGTCCAGACTTTTCACCATGTCAGTACTTTGACTGTATAATGTAACAAGCGCTCTGCTCACCTCCTGCCATGCCCTGAAAAACTATAACCCCAGTAGCCGAGCAGAGCCAGCAGGCTGCTAGATTTACACTGCGTGGCCATTGTTCCCATATGTTCCCCTCTGCCGCCGAGACCAAATAAAAGTTAAAAGGTCCTTTTTATTTGATCACTAAAAACCATGGGCCTGTTGTAAAGCGGCTTAGCATTGGTGGTGCGTTTTATCACAGCGGCTTTCAGTCGTTCCATGCTCCCATTCCCTCTCCTCCCTCCTCATTTTTTTTTTATTTTTGTCTAGAGTAAGAGTGAAATGAATTACAGAGTCAGGTGGGAGGAGAGGCAACGGCAAATGTTTAAATCCCAGAAGATCCTCGGAGACGAGGCCTAGCGGCTGATTCGTACTTTGACAAAGACACCCTAGTGCTGTGAGACGCTGTAGTGCACTGAGACTGTTATAGGAAGTCAAGTATCGAGACACACACACATGCTGGGACAGGGGGTTAAATAAGATGGCTGTCAACTGTCTAGCTTGTATCTGGTCCCGCACACACACACACTCACACTCTCATCACATACACACAGAGCACACTAGTCCAGCTGAGAGCTTGTAGAAATTGGGATAGGTGTAAATAAGATGGCTGTCAGGCCTGTCACAGGTAGACACACAGACTCCTTCAGAGTCACATCTTAAGTGAAACATGTGCATGTTTCGCGCGCACACACACACACACACACACACACACACACCTACCTTCAAGTGCTCGAATAGTCAGGGTGTAAGTGACATACACACTTAAACACTACTGCACAGACACACACACACACACACACACCTTACCTACCTTTGCGTGGTAGATAGACGTGGTGTAAGTGACAGTTAGACAGACTCACACAGTGGCACGTACACGCACACACACACCTTCAAGGGGTTGGAGAGACAGGGCCTAAGTGACAGAGGGACAGACAGTCTCAAGCAAACACTGAAGAGACACCTCTAAGTGACGGACACACACACACACAGCCGGCTCTGTGGCTAAGTGGAGCTGAAGGGAGCAGTCAGGCAGCGGTAAGGGTTTGTCTGAGCGTTCATCACTGGGTTTATAGAAGTGCCACTCACACACACACATACATACACACACACCCACTCTCCCTTTCTTTCTCTCCCTCAAAGATTGATGGGTGAGGTGTCAGCCTTCATCAGTTCGTCCCACGTCTAAAAGCTGTTTCTCTCTTCACCTTCTTCTTTCTGACCAAATCTACGCCTTGTCTTCCTCCATCTGCAAGTCCTTAATTGGTCGGGGAAAAGTAAAGTTTTACAGAGTTCAGGTTCAAGTTTGTCTCAAAAACAGTTACCTGTTGAACAAAACTGTGTTTTGGAAAAGTAGTATTAAAAAAATTTATGTAAAAAAAAGTTCCAGTGTGGGTCCCAAATATCACTGTCCTGATCACAAGAGCATGTTTTATTTCATTTTTGTTTCTATTATTTTTGCAGGAACAGGTTTTGCCACGTGTAGCATCAAGGAGAGCGCGGCAGACAGCGACGCTGACCTAGACGTGGATGGAGACGACACCTTGGAGTACGGCAAGGCCCAGTACACTGAGGCCGATATCATCCCCTGCTCCGGAGCTGGAGAGGACCAAGGAGAGGCCAGGGAGAGGGAGGCGCTACGGGGAGCCGTGCTCAAGTATGAAGCCTTATGTACTGCACAGCAGAACATTAACTACAGTAAGCTAAATGGAATGCACCCGTACGGCTCTGTTCATACTAACATTTGTGTCTCTGTGTTGCAGCGGTGGGATGCCTTCCAACAGAATAACGCCTGAATTCTCCAAATGGGTCAATGATGGTACGTTTTTCCCACCTGATCTACTGTATAGGCAGAAGAAAACACCACTATATATATAGTCAAATATAATAAAAAGTATTGCGTGCAAAATACACAAACCAATTACTTACTCATTTACTCACAAAGAGATAATTTGCCAAGAGTAATGTGTTACACGGTATCTTAATTTTAGCAGTGATTATTGCATCTAGAAAGTCACCATCAGCCATTAACCATGTTACCTGTGTTTACAGAGATGCCTTCGACGAGCAACGGAGAAAGCAGCAAGACAGACCCCAGCACTCCTTCATCCTCCTCCTCTTCCTCCTGCGCACCGCGCACCTGTAAAAACAGTGAGATCGAAAAGTAGGTTCCATATACATGGACACACACACGTCATGATCTAGTTGTAAAAGGGGAGACAGAAAATGACTCACGTTTCCCACTGCAGTCTCAGACAGATTACACACGCACTCATGGTGATTCTATGACTTTCTGATGAGTTTTCTTACTTGGGGGAGAGTCAACTTGTAGAGGGTCATAAATGATGCATTTTGTGTGCATTCTTTTTTTGCTGGGTGTGTGTGACAGAGACGGTCTCTCCAGGTATTGATTTTTTTTTACCGCAGTTGTGTTCTCTCAGAGCACAGAGCTACCTTAGAATCATTAACAGGGACATAGACACAAGCACATACTATAGGCACATGCTTGTTTTTTTAAGGTGGCAGTGTGAAAACACCATGCCCTCAACACCGCCATTCATACCTAGTTAATAGCTGTTTTATCACAGTTATTCGTTATCATTCCCTAGACACTTATATGTATGTAATTCCAAAAACGTGGCTATAATTAGCCTGGTTATATTCTTAGTTGAGGTAGGTGATTAAGGTTAGGTAATAGGTTTGTAACAGTTTATAGCCTGCAAGCATATGTATATGTTGTCCTGTGTTCCATCGATGTCGAGCGGTTAAGCAGTTCTTAAAATGATGTCACGTTGACCGGTGTGTATATGACTGCAGCTGGAGGCTGTCCCCTCACCTAGCTCTGTTTCAAACACACACACACACACACACACTCAGAAGCAGACACACTGCCTTATCCATTAGGACACACTATGTCTGTGAAAGGCCAGCGCTCTGTAATTCCCCTCATTTCCATCTTCTCATCCATATTCTGCCACAAGTAAACAATCTCACACACACACACACACACACCCTGTCCCCTGCATGGGTAATAGAGGTCAGCTCATTGCGAGATAGAGAAACGGCGATGGGCAAGCGAGCAAAGAGAAAGAGGGATTTGGTTGATTGGTTGCTTCTGCATGTCTGGCATATTCTCCTGTCCTTTTGCCCCATGCGATTATACACAGACACTGAGCTAGGGTCAGTCTGCTTGTTGCCTTCCATCCCAGCCCCTATTTCTTAAAGTGATTTTCTTTGTCCACCTGAAGTGCCTTTAGAATACCCCCTAAAAACACCACTCTCATCTCATGGTTCCTAACCTTTCCCTCTTCAGTCACTTCTTTGGGTGCAATGTTAAAATAAAAATGATTGGAGTGTTAAAAGCATGTTTTTCCTGTTATTGGAAACCTCAGTCAGTTGGTAGCAGAGCAGTAAACTGCTGACAGAATTTGATTAAGGAAGGTCTGAAATATTATTATTATTATTATATTACTTTTAAGAAATAAGAGGGGTGTGCGTCTCTCCCACCCAACAGTCCGATGCGTATATGGATACATAAGCTATAATTCAATTTGGGGACGATGTATTTTAAAATGGAAGAATCCAAACTTGAGATTTTAGATTTAATGGTGAACTCTAAATCGTGCTGGCGTTGTGGTGCATGTTTTGTTTATGTACCGACCTCGCAAGGCGGTCTATGCTATCATTACTCTCGTCGTTCTTGGCGTGAGACCCTCGCATTCAGTCAGCCGATTTATAACTTTAGAATCGGACCAACGACCGGTTCATTGTACATTTAGTTCGATCTAGAAGTCTGGGTACTGGTGTATAATGTTGAAACCATTTCTTACTCATATCAGTGAATCTTTACACCCCTAAGAAACTTGTATGTTTGTGATTGTATGCATGTTTGTAGCTTTGCTCACGTAATAAACATGTTCTCGGTCACCTCTGGGAAGGCTGCAGGCGATAAATGCTTCATTTAAATGAATCAATCGGCACTCAGCGTGTGTGTTCCCCATATTAAATATCAGCAGAGGGGATAACTGGTGAATAAGCAGAGCAGCTTGAAGTGTATTGATCAGAAACAGCTCTGCAAGGGAAGGTGTGTGTGTGTATATGTGTGTGTGTGTGTGTGTGTGTTTGCTAAGCGAAAGGATGCATTCGATAAATTGTTGTCTGTGGTGTGATCATCCTTGTTTTACTTTGTGTGTGTGTGTTTGTGTCTTGAGAGAAAGATGTAGGCAGGTCAGTGGGGCTGAGTAGAGAGGCAGTGGTCAGACGGCGCTGATTGATTCACCAGTACACGCACACATACCGTTGGTGTGTTGATGTCAGTGAGGACATGCTGCTCTGTTTGCATAGCACAAACACACATAAATACCCATATATGTCTGCTTTATTTCGCTCAGGTCGCAGAGTCTAGTCTAACTTAGATTAAGTTTTGTCCGATTTTCAAGTGAGAATTCCTCATAGTTGACGTCAAATCCACAGCCAGTGATGTGATGTTGAAAATGGAGCTTCACCAATCTGATCGATTGGTTCAGTGTGAGCCATCGGCTAGCCATAACGATGCCCACATAATTGAGTTTCTTGGTCAATGTCATTCCAAAAATGTATTTCAGTGTTGACATTGATATTGTCATGGCAGGCCACCAGCTGAGTTGTTAGTGCCACAGCCATCTTTCTCATTTTACCGAACATATAATTCTTGATATTAGGGGTCCTATAATCTAAGGACCACAACGGTAAAGGCCAGACTCTGTCTCCCATGCATATAATCACTACTGTTAATCCCAAAACTTCCACAGTCAGTTGCTGCAATCAACAGCAAAAAGTACTCTAGACAGAGCTGTCATTTTAAGACAGTTTTTAAAATATTCCAGTGAAAGACTATAAATTACACAAGACAAATGTTTGGTAAGGGAATCACTTCTGGAAATAAACTAAATCTCTAAGATTTCTCTGTCTCCTAAACCTTACTGCCAAGAACTATCTTAGATTCTAAGAAATTCTGAACAAAATGTGATGTTATGACTTTGTTATGGCCAAAATGTAGATGTGCGTTGCAACATGGTGTTCTAGCTGAGGTCTTAGTGACCACCTGGGGCAGAACATGCCTTAATCTAAGTATCCATTTAAAGGGAGCCAACTAGATGCTGAATGATTGCAATGGAAGCAGCAGTCAGCTGGCTGGAACAATTCCCTGCCTCACTCTTCTCCGCTTGCTATAAATGCACGTATTTGTGGGGCTTCTGTGCCCCTCCGTCCCCAAATGAAAATGAGATTTGTCTCCTTTCGTTACATTGATACATTGTACACGTATGTGTGTGTGTGGCGGGGGGGCTTTGCACAGGGCAGCGTTAGTGAAATCTCTCTCTCTCTCTCTCTCTCTCTCTCTCTCTCTCTCTCTCTCTCTCTCTCTCTCTCTTTCTCTCTCTGTCTCTGATCCCAGATGGGTAATGATCTGGTCGCCTCCCGGGGCGTCCTCGTTCCCTTGCTCATTCCCCTGCAAGATAAATGAGCTCTCACACACACACACACACACATACACGTACAACGCCTGAGACGCTCTTTCCCCTCCAAGATAAATGGCCCCTCCAATGCCGCCAATGCGATTGCTGCCAAATTTGGTGCTCCAGCTGGAACAATGCAGAGAGATTTCCATGTGGTTTCTGCAAATAATTGAATCTGTCCTCAATTTGGAAGTGATGAAGCTAGATTTCTACCCCCCCAAACACACACACACACACACACACAGCCCAGTCCCTCACTGCCTTTTCCTCTCTGGTTTCTTCTCTTTATTGTTGTCGCTAAGCCACATTTCTCTCTCCTTCTCCCTTCTTTTTCTTTCCCGTTTCTCTTTTCTCCCCATCCTCTGTCTCAATTTTTCTCAGGCACTTACAAAACGCTGCCCTCCCCTTCCCTTTTGCCATCAGAGCCCCCCCCCACACACACACACACACACACATACACATCAGGCTGAGGCAGGGGAAATCAATAGTGACTTAAATGTTTTATCATGGTGTGTCAGTGTAGTTAAGGCCTCGGTTAACAGGGTGCAGCAGAGAATGATGCTCTAAAGGGATTTACCGCTGCTATTTTCACAGCACATGTGTGAGAGATTTATTTCCCTACCTCATGGATAAAATGTTTGCTGGAATATTTTGCCAAAATAGTTTCTAAAACAGATTCGTAATTTTATTTTATTACGTCATTTGTGAGTGCGCGTGTTGAGAGAGAAGCTGAGTGAGGCCAAAATGTAGGTAGACAGTAGATTAAGACACAGTGCTGATTGAGATGGATGGTGGAGGTCTTCAGCCATACACAGACACACACACACTAATGAAATGAGAAATAGCCCCACACACGTTGGGGACAGAGCGCTAAATAGAGGGGAGGCACAGCCATCTATCTGTCCCTGTCAGGCTTTCTTGCTTGCTTGTCGCCATAGGGATGACTGGAGATGGAAATGCACTGCAATTTCACTTTCTTACACACACACACACACACACACACACACTGTTCAAAAAGCCCTGTGGGCCAGTAACTAAGTTGGAGTAGGAGTAGGAGCATGTTGTGTGAATGTAAGTTGTATTTCAGTATTGGTTCCTCAGGTTTTATGATGCCAGACCTGCAGATCAAGGCCACAGCTTCAGTTAAAACCTACCGAGCCAGAGCGTCGTCCCACTGTGCTCACAAACACACTAAAACACAAAAGCATGCACAAACACAGAACAAACAGATGTGCATCACATACCAGTAAATATCTGGAATTGTTGCTCTTATTTTGCTGGTTGAATTTTCCAGTGCCTATTCTCCACCATTCTTTAAAACCATGATCGCTTTTTGATTCAGAGTCGTCTGTAGTGAAACAATCCGGCTGATTTACAAAATTATTTACAAATGCTATATTTCTCGATTTCATTATGGATTCAAAAAGATTTTGATTTGGTAAGCGGATTTAGGTTCAGTGAGATGCTGTCGAACCCCAACTCTTAACACAGTGTGATTCACAACTTCTTGTTTATTAGCCCATCAAACAGCCAGATATAGCACGCCATATTGTTGTAACACCACCAATACCTGCGTTCATACAACCTCACAAATCAAGATCAACTCTGTGTGTCGTATATATATATGTTTTAAAGCAGCTTAAATAACGTTATTCTCCCCCTGGGAGCCACATTCATGGAAACATACTGCTATGCCGAGTAAAACCCAACTCAGACAGACTATTCTCGTATTATTTCCTCACCCAGGAATCCCTCACATTTTAGGTTGTAACCCAAATTGAACTGTTATCTAATTTCTGTAAGTCTAAATGACGTGTTTATTAAGCCTGTGTCCCAGAGTGACATCAATTTTTGTATTTTGGCTCCAAGAGTGAAAAGGTCGAAAACCCCTGAGCAAGCTTAAATCAGTGACACACGCACAAATGGCATAAAGACCTTAAACTCAAGGATTTTCACTTGTGGTTCTTGCTGGTTGAGAGGCAGTTTATCTCTCTGCCTGTCACACTTAGCCCTAGAGAGTTGTCTTTCCTTTCCTTGGCACTGTGAAATCACCCTGTTCTCCTTCTTACCTCCATTAAATCTCTGCACCTCCTCCATCTCCTCTTACTTTCCCCTCCACCCCCCTGCCCCCCGGTTTGAATGACCAAATCTGCATTAAGATAGATTAACATGTATTTTTATAGCATTGGGAAATTAAATAACTTTTTACATGTGGTTTTCTATAAATCAGCTGTGCTACATGAATATTCATTGTAGAAGTAGAACGACGGAGAAATGGATGAGTGTTGTGAGGAGAAAAGGAGAATCTTTTTGAAGAGTAAAACTTTTTTCCCCCCATTCCTGTTTAACTCACTTCAGACAAGGAAAGGAGAGCCCCTTGGCAGGGTTTTGTGCTTGACTGAGTGACTATGGGCTTTATTGGAGCTGTTAAAAGAAAGAGACAGGCTTGTTTGAGAGACAACCCCCGTCCAGTCCGGTCCAGCCCAGAGTCTACTGCCGCTTTATAAGCTAGCAGGCTAATCAAGGCTAAATGGCTTTTTACAAGCTCAGAACTAATAAGAGGAGAGGGTAAAGCAGTTTATAGGGCATGGAGTGGCGAGTCAGGCTCGGAGTCCCAACTAGGTCTTTATAGACACGGGACGGTGATGGGCTTACAGGGAGGAGCTAGAGCAGGTCGACGTTTCCCTTGAGACCTTATGGAGGAAGCACAACCTCCCCCTACATCTGTGGTGGCAGAATGGTTCCATTTTAAAAGCGGCTGCCCTTCAACCAGAGGACTGCAGGTCCCTGTGTCTCTTTGACGGCAATCAACCTGCTTAAATGTTCTGGAGCAAGACAAGTCCCGACCAGGAAAAAGCTGAAAAACTGAGACGTTTGAGAGGCTGGAAACAGAGAAAGAATGCAGTTTTCCCATGAAAACATTTCCATTTAATCGATTATCAGAGTAGTTGCTGCTTAATTTTTGATTACCCAACTAATCATTACAGTTCTAGCCATTACTAATCAAATGAAACCATCAGAATCAGTCCATTGCACAACAAACACATGTTTTATCGAGCTCTTAATTTTTAAATATCCTGAAATATGGTTGTTGTACCGCAAAGTTTGGGCAACTTGTAGTACTTGGCAACATATAGCTAAACAGGAAGGGGTACATTTCAGAAGGCAGTGCTAGGAGCACACACATACACAAAGTCAAACTACAATGGAGAATAGTGCTTTCTGCAACACAGTGATGTGACGTGGCACACAGCATTGTTAGTGGTGTCATTTTAATCAGTTTCTCCTGTAAAGTCTACAAGCCAAAAATGAAACTAAATGCACTCATACACGACTTCTCTAAGCTTCACAGTGTGTGTTTGAAGACGTCTCGTGATGTCCGATGCAGACAAATGTTTAACTTTAATTTAATCTTCAATTTAGTTTAAATGTTCAATTTATTTTAATGAGCTTGTTTGATAATAGGAAATAAGACGTAAAACTACTCGTATTGCATAGAGTAAATATGGATGTACGGAAATCCAGCTCTAAATAGGAAATTGAGAAAGTCCATCCTTGTTTTCTTTTCCCTGCAGCCCCTGCTGTTTGAGGATGCAGCAAATGAAGCCATATCCTAGGCCACACACACACACACGCACACACACATAGCCACTTATCGTTCTCTTTTGCTCTCACCCTCCTTTCCCTCTCTCCGCTTGTCCTTCCCCATCCAGATCAATACCATAGATCAGCTAGCTATCAGGCTGCAAAATGACCACATCACCATAAACACACGCTTGCTCCCTTTTTAACTCACACACACACACGCACACACACACACACACACACATACACCACACACACACACTATTGCATCTTTCCAGAGAACAAGTGGATGGCTATAATAAACACCGGCTGGCTCATGCAGCCTCGTATTGCTGCGCCAAATCATCATCAGCAGCAGCGTTGTGGTCTGTGCGTCGGCCATATTGATTTAGTTATGGCTGCTTCATATGCTCTCGGACAGTGTTAAATGCACATTTTCTGTTATCATGCTACACATTAATCAGAGGCTGCTTAAAGGCTGGGAGATAGGGAGGACGGAGGATAGAATGAAGGAGGGATGGATAAAGTGAGGGCACGAGGAGAAGAGGATAAACTGCAAGGGATAGATGGAAAACATAAGAGAGGAGATGCAGAGGATGAAAAGTGAACGTGTTCTCATAGGGAGAACATTATATTTAGTTATATCAGGGTCACAGAATAGCGCAATAGACTGTCAGGACTGATCGCATTAAGGTAAACACGCAGAAGAAGAGATTTTACCTATTTCTTGATGTTTTATGTATGAACAAGGAACTTTTCAAAAACCGCCTGAACACAACACAAGCGTGGGAGTCTTGTCAGCAGCATAATCTGACTTTACTCCGGTTGCTTGTGTAGAATTTTACACACACTCATATTCTTCCATATGTCTTAAGAAACCAAAGCTAAACATCTCTTCCTCTGTCTCTCTTCCTGTCCCTCTCCACCAGAGTAACGGAGGAGGAGTCCACGGCTACCACCATGGAGGCTCTGAAGGCTCGAATCAGAGAGCTGGAGAGGCAGATACTGAGAGGAGACCGATACAAGTGTCTCATCTGCATGGTGAGTATCACCTTCATGTGGATGTTCTCTGATGCTCTGCACATCAACCCTTAATGGCAGCATTGTGCCAATCATTCAAAGGCCCTGGAATTTGTAGAGCTGTGTGGTAGCATGTAGAAGTGTGGCTAATTTCCCACAAACCCTGAAGAACCTCCCCAAGGAGGATATTGCTCTTTGCTCAGGTTTGAGCTTTTCCTACTAGTTACACACAGACACTGTGTCCCAATCCAGTGGCTGGAACCTCCAAAATCCACATTATTAGGCTGACAGTGCCTGGCCCATGTCAAAGCCTTCTCCAAATACTGCCCCCTTTTGTCCAAATGTGCTCTGTGGGACACATTGGACAGTTTTTGAAAAGAGGCTCCAGGAATTGCATTTGAGCTTGGGGCCACATTGTACTTTGCATATATTTGGAATGAGGTTGACATCAGTCGCTGGCAAATGCATCACATGAATGGAAGCCAGGCATAAACTCCACTGTTGGTTTTTTGTAAGTCAAACTGTTGAATTGTCAATAATGTGGAGGGGCCAACCTGGTCCTCAGATGATTTTGGAGGACTAATCTGTAATCATAGTGGTAATCAGCTGACGCTCACATTAAATAATGTTAAGCGTATTGTGTTGTGTGCTGGATGCTCCTTAAAGTGTGCATGTAGGACCTGTGTGCATCTCATTTCCCTCAGTTTGTGGAAGTCTGTATGGAAGAGTGGTGGTGTTGTGTTGCTGTTGTGTTGTGGTGGTTTATGCTCTTGCATGGCTTTGCAAGTCAACTGAATGTGTGCTGAGATAAGAGACTCCAGTGCTAATATCATTTGTTTTGCCTCCTGATTTAAACTAAGCGCTCCCCGCGAGAAATACAGAACAACCTCAAAAAGTGACAGGCAGCACATGTAGGAGATAAAATTTAGTTGACAGACACCAAAATTGCATTGTAAAGTGTGGAGATGGCTCTGAGCTTTACAGCATGTGTAGGTGATTGATTGGACTCCCAGATCAATAATATAAGCCACAGGTTCATCCATGACAACATCAGGCAGAGTGAGGGACATTGTCAATATTCATGTTCATCGGATGCCTGAGATACGACTACACCCCCCCCCCCCCCACTGGTGTTTGTGTTCCCCACTTTGTGTCAAGTACCCATCCTGTCATCCCTCAAGCTAGTGGACAATGCAGCGTCGGCATCCTCTGTGTGTGTGTGTGTGTGTGTGTGTGTGTGTGTGTGTGTGTGTCTGTGTGTGTGTGAGTGAGTAAGAAAGGTGGGTAATTACCGACGCCTGTGTTTCCTAAAGGTCACTGAGTGCCTGAGGTGACACGGAGGGCAAGGCACAGCGATCGATCACTCACTGCCCCATGGACACACGGCTCTTCTCCGCCCATCTGTCACTGTCCCTCATCTCTCTCGCACACAACACGCACACACACTCAGGCATACAGAGAAACAGAAATATGTGTGCAAACTTCACACAGATGCTTTACATCTAATCAGTCTCTGTCTGTCTGTAACTTGTCACCGCGCTCCTTCCCTGTCAGTGTGTCTGATGTGAAAGTCAGATGGTTTAACTAGTCGCCAATCAGAAAGCATTTTAGATTTCCACTGCAGCCTCCAGAGTTATGACTCCGTAGCTCAAACTGTTCACAGTTCACAACCTTCCAGTGCTCAGGTAGTTGTATGTAAGTAGAAAACTAGTGCTCTCTTGCTGCCGCCAAGTTGGCCCAAGTTGTCCTTGATCCTTCCTGGTCCTGCAGGGAGCTCAGTGCTGTGGTGTGGTCTTATCAGTGGATTCCTACCCCCATCTACTGGTCACTGTAGCACCTGAGCCTTGTTATGTTCAGATCTATAGAAGTGTATATATATTCCTATAATAAAAACCACTATTTTTATAAACCTAACACTAGTAAACAGAGTAACCAAAAAACATCAACGCTTCTAGCATAAGAGCAAATGGGGAGCACCATTAACGCTCAACACACCTAGCTTAGCACATTATTGTATTACTATTGTTAATGGAAGTAAAGGCAATTTGTTGATCGACAGATAATTAACCAGCAACTATTTTGACAAAAGAGAAGTCGTTTGGGGTCATTTTTACCAAAAAGAAAAAAAACATAAAACTTTTAGACTGTTCAGATAAAGCATCACCTTGGACTTTAGAGAATTGTGATGGACATTTTTCACAATTTTCTGCCATTTCATTGATTGTTAGTTGCACAAACTGACGAACCTTCTCAAGCCCCATAAACACGCCACCTGAAAGCATTCTTGAGTTAGCTTGTCAGTGGATAAAGAAAACATTTGTCAGTATTTAAACATCATTAACTGCATCTTCAAAAGTAAAACTAAATCATTATATTCGCAGTATCCTGCCTGTAACCAATGAGATGTTGTAAAAATCCTCAGCGTTACCACCATTAAACACGATAATATTCATTGTGCCATAAAATACAGAGTGAGTGACTTGTTGCTGTGTTTAAAGAAAACATTTTAGGCTATCGACCTTCAGACACTTGGCCAAGTCATCAGTGTTTATTTGTTGTTATTTGCCAAAATAAAGTTGGTGTGAACAGAGAGAGTTCTCTCAGCTTTTGATAGCATTTTGTTCATTGGCTGTAGGTGCTCTCGTATGCGTGTGTGTGTGTGCGAGTGTGTTTGACCACACGCGTTTGTTGCACTGTGGTGTTTGTGTGTGCGCGATCAGTACTAGCCCGCCTCTATGATTAGCTGCCACCTTTCGCCCACCCCTCTCCTCCCCCCACCCCCACCCCCTCCCTTCCGCAGAGGAAGCCTGCTATCCAGTCAGGCGCGGAGATCAAGAGCCTAGGGGCGTGGCCAGGGCCCCGGCCACTGGCCAATGAGGTCGGAGAGAGGCAGCCTAAGTCCCTCCCCCTCGGCCTGTACTGCCTGTACAGGGGCCTTGTGATTGGTGGCTACGGCAGCGGCATAAAGAGGCTCCTCCCACAGCCCCTACGGAGGGTAAGGCACTCCCTCCCTCCTCCGCTCCTCGTCCTCCCCCACGCCCTTCCTTCCTCCCTCATCTTTCCGTTCTTTTCGAGAGGAAAAGAAAAGAGCGCCCATCAGATTGGGTTCATTCGTGGCTTTCTTCCTCATCTTCTCCTCCCACTGCCTGCTTCCCTCCGTCTCTGCTCGTTGCCTGCCCGATATCGTGTCTGTGCGTGTGTGTGTGTGTGCAGGTTGCCGGTTCAGTTGCCCCCATGCTGCCTTGCTCAGTGGTTCTGTGGCTGTTGGCTGTGTCGTTCCATGGTTAGTGGTTTGATGCTGTCAGTCAGGGAATGTACATTGTTGTTTTGGTCGTTAACAGCCACGTGCGTGTCCTTTTGAATTTGGTGTAAATAATTTGTTTCCTCCCCCCTTTCTTTGTTTCTAGGACTCCTACACGATGCCGCTCACCTCCATCCAGTGCTGGCACGTCCATTGTGAAGAATGCTGGCTCAGGACTCTGGTACGAACAGACTCTCTCACACACACACACACACACACACACACACACACACACACACACACACAAACTCCTCCGTGCTGCAGGGCAGCTCCTCATGACATGCAGTTATTGCAGCCTCATTTCATAGTCAGTGAGTTTCTCTCTGTAGCTGTGCCCCATAGGGAGGAATTTAAATGGAATATTCCCCAAATGACCTGTTCTTTCATTGCTCACACACACACACAAAATCGAGGCAATGCAAACACTCTCAGTAGAGGAAAAGCCTAGATTGAATGGTCCCCAATAGGCTTGTTAAAAATGTTGGAATAAAGTGGTCAACTCGAACTTCCAATGAGTTCTACATAATGCCTGGGGTCTACACATACACACACACACACACACGCAGAGTGGTTTTGTTGGTTATTAGTTAGTCTAATATATTCAGTAGTGTGTAATTAGCTGGTGCTAATGTGGTAAATGGAGCGCAGTGTTTCTGCTGCTGGGAGGATGAATAGTCTTCTCATTGGCCCTCCTTGGTTTTTGTTATCTCCACTTTTCTCCACATGCCCTTCATTGTGGTCTTTTTCTTCCCTCACCTCACTCATTTTTTCCTCTTCTATCACCCTTTCTCTCAGAAGCCTCCTCCTTCTCACCTCAGTGGCCAGTTGTGACAGACGTCAGTTACTAACAAGCAGTTCCCCACCATTAGCTCCCTTTGATTTTAAACTTAATTAGAAATACACTCTTAGTATAATTACAGGACCAAAGGGAAGGAAATTAATGACCAAAGGATTGTATAAATTACTGTGCTCATATGCACATCTGTAATTTATTCAAATTATTCATTTCTTTTTCTCATTCGTCAAAGAACCAGATCTATACCGTGTCTGGACCAATAGTAAACTCATAAGCACCGACCTGTAGTAGTTATGTGGCAGGTCCGAAGCCTCGAAATAGCAAATAAAACACAACTAACTGCAGAAGAAAAAAACCCAGTAGAGTTAGTATTAAATGCCAAGCAATACTCGTATTAAATACTAAATAGTATATTAGTATTTTGACTAACCATATAAAATCTGGAAATGTGAGCCTTTTAGTCCACTGTGGCCCAAAGAATTTCTCGACAACATTTGGAGAGATTACCAGTAAATGTGTGTGTCCCTAGTCCACAGAGGATGAATGACTTCAATAATTTCCCTCCTTTCTGCTTGGCACCACCAGCAAGTAAACATTTGAACTTGTCAGTTCATTTCATGATGTGACAGGATACCCCCCACATAAAGGACGAATACCCATCAGCTACAACAGTATTATGACTTTAATGCCAGCATATCATAATAATATGCAAACTGTAAGCATGTTGACATGTTTGTTCGTTTTTGTATGGTACCCTGCTGAATTTTTGACCACTAGTAGTGCTATAGTGGTAGTAATGCCCAAAGAGTGTAGCAGTGCACCAACAAAGTAAGTGAAGAAGACTGCAAGCGAGTAAACATGGATGTAAACAATGTGGGGTTGAACAAAGTCTAACAATGTAGAGCTGAGACAGCAAATGACTTTAATATTTTGTGTTTTTAAGCAAATAAGACTAAAGAGGCACATGGCTCTAAGGCTTCCTTTATTCATGATTAATTGGGTATTTAGATGTGCTCATGATTGTGTGGAACATGCATCCAACCTAAGATCATTACTGATTCATGAAGAACTTCATGTGGGTGCAGTTTTTTTTTTTTTAAATTGAACCAGATTGTGCATTTACAAAGTGTCGCCACTCCAGACAAAGACAGGATATGAGAGACAAAAAATACAGTTAATCCAACAAAATATAATTTAAAAAAGGTATTTGAAAGAAGAAAAACAAGAATGACAAAAACGGCACATCCCAAACCGTGAAAAGTCACCTGGACGAAGTTCAGTATTACATTTTTTTTTAAAATTTCATTCAGTTTTTAAGAGAGACCATGAGAAAGCACTCTTGAATGAGGCCCATTGTTTCCATCTGCCATGTACCTGTGTACTTAGAGTGTGTGTGTGTGGGTGGGTGTGTGTGTGTGTGTGCTGCTGTCACTGGTCGTATGGGGCATTAAACTCATAGCCTGGAGACAGCTATAAAAACAGGAGGGCCAAGCTGATCAAAGTAAATGCCTGGGAATCTAGTTAACGTCAGCCCAACCCCTTACCGCTTTAATGAGCAAGGCAGCTGGAGCGCAGCGTGACGGGCACACACCCACACACACTTACCGCTCACACTAAACAGAGTACACAGCTTCGACAGGCGTGCAAACAAACAGGAGGACGGCTCCTTACACACACAGTGTATGAATGAAAAACACTGCAATCACTTGTACCAACATCGTTTGAACCTAGAATGTGTCCATAGCACAGAGTAGCAAAGAAGTGGCATTGAATATTTGGTCACATACATACACAAATTGCGAATCTTAGTATTTTTGTTAGATGCTTTTGTACATTCACTTGTGTTTAGACAAGATATAAGATTTTAAAATGACGTTTTAGTCTTGCTTTATTGGCACCAAGTATCATTAACTCCCAACCGATAACCAGAGCTATTGTAGAAACTTGTGCATGAATTTTAAAACCATCCCCGACTTCTCTATTTTATATCACATCCACCCTCTTCCTTCTCCCTTTCTTCGCCTCCACACTTATCCTCCTCCATTATTCTCTCTTGAGACACGGAGAGACTGTTTTGAGTACTCTGGAGCCACAAATCCTCTTTGCAGGAGGGTGTGAGATATGTCAGATTCTTGCACCGCCTTAGTCCTCTTGAGAGTGATGTGTGTGTGTGTGTGTGTGTGTGTGTGTGTGTGTGTGTGTGTGTGTGTTAGCCCTACAGACTACCTGAGTCCATACACCCACTCCAAAGACTTTATTCAGTGACTTACAGGAAAAGAAGCCTATAAATCTGAGGGGTCAGATGAGGCTGTACATTTGTACAGGATTTGGAAGGTGCAGATACTCCAGTTATGAGATCTCTGCATTCTGTTGTACCTGTGTTAGATGTCACACACAGTGTTTTACACACCTTCTACACACACCAAAGAGATACTTTTATGATGGATGATGGTCAGTTTTGTAGTCCAAATATGTCTAACATGTCACTTTTCAAGGGGCGTATGTTATGTGGAATGACATTAAATCATAATAAGGGATGTAAAAAGTAATGGAAGCTGTTTTATAGTAATTATTAGCAAGACTTGTACCATTGCTGAAAGCATCCAGAACATGAAAATAGCAATTGCTGCAGCTTCCTCTCCTAGTTAACTCCAGATGTACCACCATGCTTAATTTATTTACATCATTTATTGTGACATTTATATTTATTCATACATCTGTGACCAATGCACAAACAGTACAGTGAGAACTGTTGGCGGGAATGTGCCTGCAGCCAGCGGTTACCACCCAACACAAGAAAGGTGGAAGACAGCGGTAGAGACCACCCAGTCCGAATGTTGTTACGCTGTCAGCCCTGTGTTGCATATTATCACCTGCTGCTTTACTGCAGATGGCACACTATCAAAGCAGTGCAGAGAGGGAGGAAGAGCGCTGAAGGGAGGACTGTGTGAGGCGGGTTTACTTTCACACAAATTTTCGTTCCATGATGAATTTTAACACTTGTAAACTGTCAAAAGACACATGCAGCCCATGTACAGAGCAGTTGTACTGCAGAGAAAGTGAGTGATCTTGGTTCAGTGTGTCTTGTTCTAAATGTGGTCTGCATCGAGGTGAAGTTAGTTTCAAATTTGATATTGATCGGCTGGGTTCAGCTGATGCCGGTGCAGCGGGTCTGTTTGCATCAGTGATTCGGATCAGAGAGTTATATTGAAGCAGAAAGCAAACTGTCTGGAACCAACAAATGTCTTGTAGTTTGGTGACCTAAATATCACCTTAATATTACCTTAAATTTCTAAAGTTTTTCTGCTGGACACAAGATGTCTTCTACTTCACTGTAAAGCCCATTCTCAGTGGATGTGCACTGGTGGCTTCAAGTTTCTGTCACAAATCATGTTCACAGCCCCTTTAAAAATCTAATTTTAATTTTTAAAACATCCTTCTAGTGTCAAACTCTGCACAGACATCATTCTGCACAGTGAAGCTCAAACACCCAACTGTAGGAAGAAGAAGAAAAATAGATTTTTGAGTGGAGGGGGGTCATAAACTCAGTTTCTAAACAACAAAGCTAACCATTGTCTCTCCATCTATCACAGGGGAACAAGAAGCTGTGCCCGCAGTGCAACACCATCACCTCACCCGGAGACCTGAGGCGTGTCTACTTGTAAAGAGCACACACACCCCCTCCCGCCCCGCCTTTTCGTCCTTTCCAATCCATTCCTCCTCTCGTCTTGGATCTCATCACCCTCTCTGTCGATCGTCATTTGTTTTCCCTCTCTCGTGGCCTGGGTCTGCAGCTCCAGACCCTCCAAGAGCATACAGAGACAAGACGGCTGTCTTTTGAGACTCCACTGGCTCTTTCGGGAGGTTCAAACTGGATGCAACTGAAAGACTGAGCGGCACTGACTGACTCTCTGGCCCGCCGCCTGGCCACCCATTAAAAAAACAAAACATGGAGACCTGCGATCCTGCTGGTCAACAGGCTTGTTTCCTCTGCCTCAGTGACGCAACGCCCTGTACATGTAACATAAGGGTGTCCACTGAAGGACTTGTAGTCAGTGGAGACCCCCCCGACACCCAGCTACGCCCTGCTGAGACCTGGTAGCTTCATGCAGCTGGAGCTGAAAGGAACTTCTTAATACAGAATATAAAGACTTCTTTTTTTCCCCTCTAGCTCTTCTTTGACATTTGGGTGGTGCTGGACAAGGGGCTCTACCCTGAAGACTCAACAGAAAGCTTCTTTTTGTTCCCAGAGAGAAAACTCTTATCGACATGCCCCTGTTGCTTATGAGAATTGAAAAAAAAGGGGCCTGTCCACTAAAACTGAGCTTTCAACCAAACTGAGAATAACCTCACAACCTTGAAAAGGAGTTTGACACTCCTCCTCCTCCTCCTCCACCACCTCTTCTTCTCGCGAGCCCTTCCCTCCCCTTCTTCCCTCTTTCGTGGTGTTCTAGTGAAGTAAACCAAAAGTTTCCCCCCCTCCAAGATGCAGTGCAAGCACATGTAATATAGTTCTATGTATGTTTACAATGTTGGGTGTAAATGACATAGAGTACACACACACACACAAACACACACACACGCACATACACACAGATGCAAACACATGCACACACGGTACCATCAGCAGACACACACAGAAGTATATAATATCAAAGTCCTGTTTTTAGTTGGAAGGGTTTGGGAATGATGTTTGGGGAAAAAAATGGCTGGAATAAAAGAAGCCTTCTGTATTTTTAAAAAAAGATCATTTGAAGATCCGTTGAAGTTTTATTTCACTGTACAGGAATAAAAAATTTAAGTAATAATAAACTACTCAAGACTAGATGGTCAAGATTTAGGTGGTGTAAGTTTTCTGCAGAGTACCCTGAAAATTTTTTTTTTTTAGTTTTAACGAATGGTGAGATTCCTATAATGCAAACAAGCAGAAAGATGGATCTGCTCTTAAGTTGCAACACTGTCCAACTGAGCCTCTTCTTTTAACCTCCATTTCTGCTTCCTCTCATTCGGAGTAACATCACGCTCAAATCATAGTCTAGAAACATTGTTTTACCCCTACATGTCTCAAAAGAAAGCTTTTTCCATTGTTCCATCATATTGCTATGCTGCAAAACAAGGTCCCAAAATGGCAACCCCGAAGGGCAGGTTCTTTCTAGCTATAACGGATGAAGCAAAGTCTCTGGAAAGGAAGGATGGCCATGGCTGAACTGGCAACCTCCAGAACCCGCAGCATTTCCCCCCCTCTCCCTTTACGGCAGCAGCAGCAGCAGCAACCAAGGTGGTGGTGTGCTTTGTGTTTGTAAAACTATGTATTCTGTGATGTCTGTATTGTTGTAAGAAATGCTGAAAAAAAAAGAAAAAATAAAACTTCTCAAATACCATGAGTGGTCTTGTTCGCACAACCTGGGTGGTACAAGAAGACGGCGGAGAAAAATGTTCCTGTGTTTACTGTGAAAAGACTTTGTGTGTCATCTCAGTGTCAGCAGTGTTCGCTCTCTCAAAGGACTTCCACTGTGATATAATGTACAAGGCCCACAGTTTAAACACAACTTTTCTTTTCAGAGATTATTTAATGGGGTCTGGGATCCTTTTTAACAAGGCAGTTAATTCTCTATTAGAGAAAGCATGAGTGGATCAACTCTGATTAACAAGTTCATATCTACTGATGAGCTTTTTTCTATTTACAGCTATTACAAGAAAACGTCACATTACATGGAAAAGATGTAACTACCAGAAACAAAATCAGTGTAATTTTGTGGTTGTAATTATAGTCAAAATATTTTGGGGAAATGAATAATAAAAAAAATAACAGGTGTGACTGGGAACAACATGAATTGGTTATCATCCTAGTACCTTTCGGTTTGCCAGAACATTCGCAGGCTCTCCAGGCTGGAGACCCGGGCTGGAGACCAGGGTTGGAGTACGAAGCGGGGAAGTGCCTGGGGTCCCAGGCCCCTCCAAACCCCAGGATCACTGCCCACCACTTGGCTTTGGCAGTGGTGGAAGAAGTACTCTGACCTTTTACTTAAGGGCAGAGAGAGGGGATGACACACAGCAAAGGGCCACAGGTCAGATTCAAAGCCTAGGCTGCTGCAGCAAGGGTGAGCTATCCGGGCGCCCCACAAGTACCAAAGTATTAACATTAAAATACACTGCCCAACATAAGAGCACTCATGTACATTGGCCCATTTCAGAATGATGTTTTGGTGGAGCAATTTGCAGATCTCCATTAAGGTGAGTCCTGCACTATTACCAGAGGGGCCTGTGTTAGAATCTAGATGAAATTACGTATAATTAAACATTAACAACGCACTCTCTCACACACACTCTCTCACTCTCAAACACAAACACACACCTTAATGAGCAGTGATGGAGAAACTGTTTGTAGAAAACACCTTTTGTTCTGAAGCGTCTTTGCTTTTATCACCATTGGATTTAAAGTATCTTTGCTTTGAAAATTCTTATCTATATCATGTTCTATTTACAAATAAAGATGATGAATGTGTGTATTGTGTTACTGAGGAGAGAATTCTTGGAAATATGGCATAGGTTGGTGTATGGCGGGGGATGGACCTCAAAGGTTTTTTTTTTGCTCATTTATTCAACAGTTTTTGGGGTGAGCCGGTCTCTTTTCTTGCTGACAATCTCTTCACATTTGCGGTTATAAAGTGTTAAAGGCGCTCAAATTCAAAACTGTCTCAACCTGTCACCTGCCAGAATCGAGACGAGGCAGTGCCAGTGAATCGCCTGATTGGACCGCAAACCAGTCAGGTGATTCATTCAGGCAATGAAGCAGATGCTGCTTCAGACGGCCTATGTCATGTGATTTTTTTCGCACCAAAGCAAGCTTTGAAGCAGTGGTTCTACGGAATTGTAGTTCAGGGTTTGAAGTACGTATTGAAGCTTCAGTGTCGCACTGCCATCACTGGTGACAGCATACATACACATTGCACAGAGGATGGGAGGGCGGAGGTCAATAGCTGCTCAAATGCATATTTTAACAGGTTAATCGGTCCATACTCGAAACATACAGTTTTGGCCCTAAACCTCTTAACATATAAAACGATGACACCAAAATAATAGTGCATTAAATAAAAGACACAATACTGCATCAGTTTTAAAGTAATAGGATTCTAAAAGGTGATTTGTTGAGTGTATAACTCTATCCAGATAGGGTGCTTCTGGATATTTGTTCTCTTCTGCTTTCCATAAGGTGGAATAACCACACATATATGTGTTAGATCATTGTCAGAATGAGTCATTAAGACAAGTGTTGTCAGATGCTAATAAAGTTTTATCGCAAGGGAGGAAACCACAGCGGGAGGTGAGTTGTGTTTAAACTGTTTAGCAATCAGTTTTGGATGGAAAGGCAGCATGCTGGTTACACTGACCCCAAAACACATCCCATTGCTGCAGTCAGTGTTACTTGTTCCTCAATTTTGACCGTTTGAGTCCAGTGATTTAATTTTGGACTTCCTCAAGAGAAGTTAGTTAAGTTAGAACTTTTATTCCCACTAGTTTAAGCTCCAAAAACACCATGTCCCCTTAATTTAACTCAAGTATCTTTTATCAGACTTCCCCTTCCTGGTAAAGGATCTTACGCATCTTTCAAACCCTATGCCTCTGTTTGCAATGTACGCTTTCCTAAACCAAACTGACATAACCCTGATGATCATGAGTGTGTTCACTCCCCCTGACAAGTTAATTTACAGCAAATATGGAGCTAGCAGTATTCCAGCATAGGACTATTGCTTAGTTTCTGGGATCAAGATCAAGATGGCTGATGGAACATATGGGAATTCAATTGAGGCTCACAGCTCATTTTTGCCATGGGGTCCCTTGATGAGTCAATCCAGCTCTGCCTGTATTGGATAGAATTCTATAAAAACCATAGACTGGCTGGGAACAGGTACAAGAGAACCAAATAAAACCTGACACATAACTACATTTTTCATTGTATCACACTGTGTCACCAGTCATTTAGGAGTAATATGAGCACTGCTGTAAGCCAATGTAGGGTTAGTGAGTTATTAAGTTTGTAGCGATAAAGGCTGCTCCCATTTCTCTGGATATGGAACGGATCCAGAAGACAGCATTGCCATCTAGAGGGCTTCAACACACAGTCACATAATCCCACCGGTTATCAGGCAGCGATCAGTCGATCCCCAGATGGTGTCAGCATGCTCGGGGGAGCAGATGTGTGTGAGTGCCTGCACTTTCTTGTTAAACAGCGTTATAGAAACCAACCCTGCCAAACATCAGAGCTCATTTAGCAGCCACCAGTAACATTCATTGGCAAGAATTACAACAATATGATCTCTCACACCACTATTTGGTGCTCAGATCTGTGTCCAAGCCTTAAACAAGAGCAGTATTTGCAGTTTCTTACCCAGACCAAGGTGAGGCCTTATTAGAGCCAGCCCTGCCCAGTAAGCGCTCCTGTAAGTGCTGTCAGATGCTAATAAAGTTGCAGTGGAAGCAGTGAACCACAGCAGGAGATGAGCTTTTTGGAATATTCTGGAGTTGTGTTGAGTGTCTGGACAACATTACTGCAATACTGTGTGAGTGTGTATCAGCATACAGTATCTCAGTCATTTGGACAGTGATACTTTGTCATCTGTTCATGGTTGTGTCTGCATGTTGGCCACGTTCCCAAGCAAACAAGTGCTGAAATACTGCTTTCATTAGACTGTGTAAGATGGTATTTAGCTTAACATGTTGTTCACTGGTAGCTGCTGGCTACCATGTTGTTGTGCTTGTGGTGTATTAGCTGAAGGGTATGCTTTGTTGCTGAGGAGGTTTGTTATTTGTTTGTTTGGTGGGTCAAACAACTTGCTAGGTAGCTTAACATGCAGGCTTGGGGAATAATGGATTACATGTTACTGAGTTATGTAATCAGGATACAAGAAAATGTAACTTTAATCAGATGAAATCAGATTACAGTTGCATTTAGTAAAAAATTGGATCATTTAGCAAGATTACAATTTTAAAATGCATACATTTTCTTAGTAAATACCCTGAGCAGAGGGCACATTTTTGATTTTATTCCATTTTCTTTTCAAAGGTTACATTGTAGTTGTCTTACAGATTACTTTGCATCAGTACTTATTGACATTTCTTCTTGTTTGTATTTACATGAAGTGGGTAATTCTGGGATGCTGGAACACATTTTTGAGGGTTCTCAATGTCGCGGGCCAAACACCAGTTGTTGAGAGGATGCCCACCGGATGACCCTGTTTAAACTCCCCTAAAAAAAAGGAAATGCATAAGGCAGGGTGAAACCACCATCTGTCTGCTCCTTGCTTGGCAGGATTTAAAGGCAATTTAAAAAAGTGTTCGTTCAGGATTAGAGAATGGTGTCACCTGTCAGAGAAATCAGTAGTTTTATGATGGCACTGCCTGATGACCATTCCAGGGCCTCATGATCATGATCAAAACATCATTTAACATTGATACCGGGCTTCCATATGGATGTGCACCCACTTTTTGGCACATTTTGCTGTGTTACTGATAACTGAGGGGATTCCATGTCAGATCCATGGAAATGTCTTTTGGAGGTCAGACAGTGTGTGTCCTACTGTGGATGTACACAGTATGGTGTGGTCATTATTGTCATTGTGCAAACACACACACACACACACACACACACACACACACACACACACACACACACACACACACACACAGGCCAATCAATATGACGGTCCACTCCCTGCCCCGTCTTCCTTCCTGCACTTCCCATAGACACCCATACATATGATACGTTCACATGCACATGCATAGACCCATAAATACACACTCACAAATACACACACACAGTTTGACACAAACTGCATATCGATTCAATCACTGACTTACTCTGGGCGGATGAAGACAATAATATTGGCCAGTTCAACTAGACAGTGTGTGTGTGTGTGTTTAGCTCCAGGTTAGGTGCCAGAGGTACCAGGAAATCTATCCAAGAGGCGCCTGTAGGAAGAGGCAGGAAATTGAACCAGTTGACAGAAGAACCCCCTCAAGGCTGGTTCAGAGTCATTAAGGCCATTTAGCTCATCAACTAGCTCCACCCAAACCACAAGCTGAGTTCCCATGGTGTTTGTGTCCTTTTCACATTCTATTGTGTGAGCCAGTTGTTAAGAAAGTCATAGTTGCATTGCAAAAATATAGAAAATGTGGAAAAGGGGAATTATGCAACAATTGCAATGGAATTAAACAGATATGTCTTCTGTAAAGTTGTTCTCCATCACCGAACCAAATGGGTTCTGAGTTCCATTTAAAATATGTACAGAGTTACAGTAAATAAAATAATTCTAAGAAAAGTAATTATCGCAATATGATAGTTTTACCATATGATGATCACTGCAGACCCCACAAGAGCTGC